TAGAATCATTCTATCACCCTATTAGAGACCTGAAGGACCAGATACCCTATAGAATCATTCTATCACCCTATTAGAGACCTGAAGGACCAGATACCCTATAGAATCATTCTATCGCCCTATTAGAGACCTGAAGGACCAGATACCCTATAGAATCATTTTATCACCCTATTAGAGACCTGAAGGACCAGATACCCTATAGAATCATTTTATCACCCTATTAGAGACCTGGAGGACCAGATACCCTATAGAATCATTCTATCACCCTATTAGAGACCTGAAGGACCATATACCCTATAGAATCATTCTATCACCCTATTAGAGACCTGAAGGACCAGATACCCTATAGAATCATTCTATCGCCCTATTAGAGACCTGAAGGACCAGATACCCTATAGAATCATTCTATCACCCTATTAGAGACCTGAAGGACCAGATACCCTATAGAATCATTCTATCACCCTATTAGAGACCTGAAGGACCAGATACCCTATAGAATCATTCTATCACCCTATTAGAGACCTGAAGGACCAGATACCCTATAGAATCATTCTATCACCCTATTAGAGACCTGAAGGACCAGATACCCTATAGAATCGTTCTATCACCCTATTAGAGACCTGAAGGACCAGATACCCTATAGAATCATTCTATCACCCTATTAGAGACCTGAAGGACCAGATACCCTATAGAATCATTCTATCGCCCTATTAGAGACCTGAAGGACCAGATACCCTATAGAATCATTCTATCGCCCTATTAGAGACCTGAAGGACCAGATACCCTATAGAATCATTCTATCACCCTATTAGAGACCTGAAGGACCAGATACCCTATAGAATCATTCTATCACCCTATTAGAGACCTGAAGGACCAGATACCCTATAGAATCATTCTATCACCCTATTAGAGACCTGAAGGACCAGATACCCTATAGAATCATTCTATCACCCTATTAGAGACCTGAAGGACCAGATACCCTATAGAATCATTCTATCACCCTATTAGAGACATGAAGGACCAGATACCCTATAGAATCATTCTATCACCCTATTAGAGACCTGAAGGACCAGATACCCTATAGAATCATTCTATCACCCTATTAGAGACCTGAAGGACCAGATACCCTATAGAATCATTCTATCGCCCTATTAGAGACCTGAAGGACCAGATACCCTATAGAATCATTCTATCGCCCTATTAGAGACCTGAAGGACCAGATACCCTATAGAATCATTCTATCACCCTATTAGAGACCTGAAGGACCAGATACCCTATAGAATCATTCTATCACCCTATTAGAGACCTGAAGGACCAGATACCCTATAGAATCATTCTATCACCCTATTAGAGACCTGAAGGACCAGATACCCTATAGAATCATTCTATCACCCTATTAGAGACCTGAAGGACCAGATACCCTATAGAATCATTCTATCACCCTATTAGAGACCTGAAGGACCAGATACCCTATAGAATCATTCTATCACCCTATTAGAGACCTGAAGGACCAGATACCCTATAGAATCATTCTATCGCCCTATTAGAGACCTGAAGGACCAGATACCCTATAGAATCATTCTATCACCCTATTAGAGACCTGAAGGACCAGATACCCTATAGAATCATTCTATCACCCTATTAGAGACCTGAAGGACCAGATACCCTATAGAATCATTCTATCACCCTGTTAGAGACCTGAAGGACCAGATACCCTATAGAATCATTCTATCACCCTATTAGAGACCTGAAGGACCAGATACCCTATAGAATCATTCTATCACCCTATTAGAGACCTGAAGGACCAGATACCCTATAGAATCATTCTATCACCCCATTAGAGACCTGAAGGACCAGATACCCTATAGAATCATTCTATCACCCTATTAGAGACCTGAAGGACCAGATACCCTATAGAATCATTCTATCGCCCTATTAGAGACCTGAAGGACCAGATACCCTATAGAATCATTCTATCACCCTATTAGAGACCTGAAGGACCAGATACCCTATAGAATCATTCTATCACCCTATTAGAGACCTGAAGGACCAGATACCCTATAGAATCATTCTATCACCCTATTGGAGACCTGAAGGACCAGATACCCTATAGAATCATTCTATCACCCTATTGGAGACCTGAAGGACCAGATACCCTATAGAATCATTCTATCACCCTATTAGAGACCTGAAGGACCAGATACCCTATAGAATCATTCTATCACCCTATTAGAGACCTGAAGGACCAGATACCCTATAGAATCATTCTATCACCCTATTAGAGACCTGAAGGACCAGATACCCTATAGAATCATTCTATCGCCCTATTAGAGACCTGAAGGACCAGATACCCTATAGAATCATTCTATCACCCTATTAGAGACCTGAAGGACCAGATACCCTATAGAATCATTCTATCACCCTATTAGAGACCTGAAGGACCAGATACCCTATAGAATCATTCTATCACCCTATTAGAGACCTGAAGGACCAGATACCCTATAGAATCATTCTATCACCCTGTTAGAGACCTGAAGGACCAGATACCCTATAGAATCATTCTATCACCCTATTAGAGACCTGAAGGACCAGATACCCTATAGAATCATTCTATCACCCTATTAGAGACCTGAAGGACCAGATACCCTATAGAATCATTCTATCACCCTATTAGAGACCTGAAGGACCAGATACCCTATAGAATCATTCTATCACCCTATTAGAGACCTGAAGGACCAGATACCCTATAGAATCATTCTATCGCCCTATTAGAGACCTGAAGGACCAGATACCCTATAGAATCATTCTATCACCCTATTAGAGACCTGAAGGACCAGATACCCTATAGAATCATTCTATCACCCTATTAGAGACCTGAAGGACCAGATACCCTATAGAATCATTCTATCACCCTATTAGAGACCTGAAGGACCAGATACCCTATAGAATCATTCTATCACCCTGTTAGAGACCTGAAGGACCAGATACCCTATAGAATCATTCTATCGCCCTATTAGAGACCTGAAGGACCAAATACCCTATAGAATCATTCTATGAACCCTTTAAAGGAAAGTCCGGTCAGCAGGAATAATCAATGTATCATTATTTATACCTAAAACTAATACGTTTGCGGTGATTTAATGAATGTAGCGTTAATTAGTAAAAAAATAAAAGCAATAATTTTCGTTGCGATCACAGAGTCTGGGAGCGGCCATTTTTGCCCAAATATAGTAGCCCCTCCCTCCTGCCATCTTCCAGCAGTGACGTCACGGTGCGGTAAGCCTAGCGCCATTCTCCCCGCTTTCCAAGCTAAATCAATGGGAACTACTTGACACATCTGCAATCAACAACAATTATTGAAGATTTCCAGAGGACTTCACCATTGAAATTCACCAGAGCTATAGTGAAACTGACAATGCCCACGTGCATGGCAGCTGGATGCTGGAATACATCGGGTAAAAGTGAAAAAAAAGAGTTCTTCCACCTTTCTGATTCCTGATCCTCCACGGACGGGTTGGTCGCTTGGATCGCCAACTTGAAGAGGGAGGATTTGCCATCGAACTTCTGGCCAGAGAAAAAACCCGTAATATGTAGCCAACATTTGGAAGAAGAATGTTTTCAAGATGACTTGGATAATAGCGCGTTGTGACAAACACCAGATACAGCACTGGGACTTGATCAACAGCCGATACCGCACCGTGACAATGTCACTAACCAGTAGGTGGCAGTAGTGTTCTTTGACAAACATGGATGCCTCCAGTAAAGCACATTCACATGAAAATTACTCTGAATTAAAAACACTGATCATTTATTGAACAGGATGGAATCATTTCAGATTTAAAGAACTTTCAGAAGTTTGAATATGAGTGACTTTTCCTTCAAATCAAAATGCATCAATTATGCAACAATACTATTGTTCTAGAGTTATAAAAACCACTCCTGTGTTTACTCAATAAAGAGCAGGAGGTATTAACAGGGTCCTAAAAGTTGGGCGCGGCGAAGCGAAACAACAGCAGTACGAGTTCAGTGGAACAAGTAGATAAAAAAACAGGGTTAAAAAAATAAACCAAACAAAACAGTAAAAATCAAATCCTGCTGTGGAGAATATTTCATCCCCTCACCATGACAGCTAAGGTTAAACACCCATTTGTTTAAAGCTGCCTCTCTTAACTGAAGTATTTTTAGTTTAAGGTTGTGGTCCAGCTTTTTTATTTGCTTTTATGATCTTATTTTTTTACTTTGTGCTTTTATTTTACTGTTTAATTGATGTTCAGCACTTTAAATCATTGTTTTAAATTCTGCTCTAGAAATAAACCTGCCTGTCATATTTATCCTGTTTGTGTCAAACTGTCATATTTCAGCTCATCTAACTCATTTTAACCTTAACTTTAGTCAATTTAAAAAGCAGTTTTAGTTTTTTTTTTTTTTTTACTATTATGATTTATTTTAAGAAATTCATTTGCATGCATTGCTAAAGTCAGGGCGTACACTGTACGATTTTTTGCCCTTTTCGGGCCGATTTTCCAGTCGTGTGAGAATTTTCCGATCGGGCCGACTTTCAGTCTGATGGTGCGTGGTGTCGTGAACAGGGGGTAACGAGGGGCGATCAGCCTCTAACGACCACCTCCCCATCAGGAATCAGAAGGCTGGGAGAAAATCAAACATGTCTGAAATCCAGTCGGCCGTCGTAAGGTGGTCGTGGGCAAACAAGGATTCTTCTGCTTCGTCTTCCTCTCAGATGAAAACACAGAAGCATGGCGGGGGTACAATGAGGGAAATGGAGTTCTTTATGTAAAAATGACAGACCGCAGTAGCCACGTTTGCTCAGCCATGTCTTTGTCCAAATACGTCGTCGCACAAAATTGCACAAATTTCCAAGGCAGCGCGTTTCACTACAGTGAGCTTCACATTCCTCTTCTACTCGTTTGGCTTCCAGAAAGATGAGTCCGGGTAGCGCCATGATCGGTGTGAGCGCTCTTCAATTAACACATCTCTGTTCCGTTTGTCCCACAGCTCTGCCACCATCTTTCCTCCATCTGGGCATCCGGGTGAGACGACCGCTCACAGCTTCTGCCTGCACAGCTGCTTCCTGCAAAGCTTCAGACGGCGGCATTCAGAGGTACTGATCCCAACAAAGCTAGATAGCTAGATAGCTAGATAGATAGATAGATAGATAGATAGATAGATAGATAGCGGCCTTGGGGAGCAGTGGGCTGCCATTGTGCGGCGCCCGGGGAGCAGTGTGGAGTTAAAGGAATAGTACACCCAAAACATGATTAGCCTTCATTTTCTACTCACCCCCATGCTAAACAACACTCTGGAGTACTTTTTTGATATCTCAAATGCATCTGGAGATCTGGGAGGCTTCTTGCTGTCTGCTGACATTCAAATAATGGAGGTCTATGGCGCCCGAGACAGAAAGGTCCATAAAAGTCCACAAAAACGTGTCAATATTCCTCCATACTGCTCGTCCAATGTATTCCAAGTGTCCTGAGTGGGTAGCATCCAGAATTTACTCGAAACGAAGTCATTTAGAATGTTTTTAGAGCATAAACAGTAGTGTATAGGATTTCCTGAAAGCGCGCACATGCGCGTTCACGACGCTACGGAAGCCGGCAGACCAAACCAGATGAAAGTGCGCATTCAGCGTCTGCTCTGCCGATAATGCAAGCGTAGAAGAAGAAATGTGCTGTTTACCTGTGCAAAGAAAGAAACAACGAAAGAAAAATGTCTGAGGACTTCAGTGTTGAGGAAGAGCATGAGTTCTTTGCAGAGCTGAATGCGCACTTTCATCTGGTTTGGTCTGCCGGCTTCCGTAGCATCGTGAACGCGCATGTGTGCGCTTTCAGGAAATCCTATACACTACTGTTTATGCTCTAAAAACATTCTAAATGACTTCGTTTCGAGTAAATTCTGGATGCTACCCACTCAGGACACTTGGAATACATTGGACGAGCAGTATGGAGGAATATTGACACGTTTTTTGTGGACTTTTATGGACCTTTCTGTCTCGGGCGCCACAGACCTCCATTATTTGAATGTCAGCAGAGAGCAAGAAGCCTCCCAGATCTCCAGATGCATTTGAGATATCAAAAAAGTACTCCAGAGTGTTGTTCAGCATGGGGGTGAGTAGAAAATGAAGGCTAATCATGTTTTGGGTGTACTATTCCTTTAAGGGTCTTGCTCAGGGACCCAGAGTGCAGGCTATGGGATCAAACCGGGTACTTGCAACCTTCTCAGAGCACTGCTATAACCATTAAACACTCCCCTAAGGCCAATAATATAATAAAAAGCTAATGATTTATTTATAGTGCACACTTTTATATTTACATGTTTTATGGCTCTAAAATGTCAAATTTCCGTTTATTTGTCCATAAATTGGTCAAGCACATTTGTTTGAAGTTAAATTTTTATCAATGAAAGGGAAAATATCTTCCTAAAGTAATATCTAAAGCCGTGTTTAGTTCTTTTAATGGTCTGAATGTGATTCAGACTCTTTAGTTCTTTCCTTCCTTTTATTTTTTATAAAGTTGTTCACAAAGTTCCTAAAGAAGGTTTTTATGTGACATTCTTAGGAATGTCTTTGTCCTAATCAGCCATTCAGGATTTTCCTTTCTGCAGCGGGTGTGAGCTCATTCCTTAGCATATGCTCTTTGTATCTTCTAATCTATCTGAGGGCTTGGTATTATCTACTCTAGAACTGAAGACAGGGAAAGTCTTGCGAAAGGTGTTCATACCACACATTCAATTGTTTGTTTTTCCATGCTTGGTGTTACAACACGGTGAATCTGGCTCTTCTGGTTTTTACCCATAATGTCTTGTCAGATAACAGAGGATAAGCAAGGAGTTTATTTAATCTCCTGCCTCCTCTGACCTCTATACACAACAACATGTAAGAATAAGGGAAGACTTAATAAAAGAGAGGAATTTTAAAAAGAAAGGGTTAGCAATCTGATTGATAAATGTGTGAGAAAATAAAAACCCTTTTTGTTATATCTCTGTCTTTCAGGAGAAAACCTCTATAGTCCTGCAAAATCAACCGCTAATTTCTGCATCCATCTTCCTGGACTTCAGAAGAAGTGGTGAATCAGAGGGATTACTTCCATTTTCAGACTCATCACAAAACTAAAAGGTTTGATATAAACTAAATGACCCAGAAAAAGCCATCCAATATCATGTAAAGTGGTTCATGATCTACTGCCTGATTACAACACCAGAGTATTAACAGTGTAATAATAATAGTAATCATATTATAATAGTAAAACTAATAATAGTAATGCAGAATAATAATTTTATTATAATATACTATTAATAATAATAATAGGATATGATAGTTAAAAATTGTTTTTTTTGCAAAAAAAAAAATTTAAAAAAAAATAGAGGTGGGCCAAGGACAGATCCCTGAGGAATACCATCAGTCAAGTGGGGAAAAAAACCCTAAACTTCTACATTTATGTATCAAGTTTTCATTGAAATTAAACTGGTGGAATAGAGATTCTACATGAATGGATCGTAAGTGATTCCAGAAATGTGGATATTATACCCATGAACGGTCCCCCCAAACACCATCCATCCATCCACCATCCATCCATCCATCCATCCATCCATCCATCCATCCATCCATCCATCCATCCTTCATCCATCCATCATTCATCCATCCATCCATCCATCCATCCATCCATCCATCCATCCATCCATCCATCCATCCTTCATCCATCCATCCATCCATCCATCATCCATCCATCATCCATCCATCCATCCATCCATCATCCATCCATCCATCCATCCATCCATCCATCCATCCATCCATCCATCCATCATCCATCCATCCATCATCCATCCATCCATCATCCATCCATCCATCCATCCATCCATCCATCCATCCATCCATCCATCCATCCTTCATCCATCCATCCATCCATCCATCCATCCATCCATCCATCCATCCTTCATCCATCCATCATCCATCCATCCATCCATCCATCCATCCATCCATCCATCCATCCATCCATCCATCCATCCATCCATCCATCCATCATCCATCCATCCATCATCCATCCATCCATCCATCATCCATCCATCCATCCATCCATCCATCATCCATCCATCCATCCATCCATCCATCCATCATCCATCCATCCATCATCCATCCATCCATCCATCATCCATCCATCCATCCATCATCCATCCATCCATCCATCCATCCATCCATCATCATCATCCATCCATCCATCCATCCATCCATCATCCATCCATCCATCCATCATCCATCCATCCATCCATTCATCTACCCCTGCATTTTGCCCATATTGTTGGAGATCTTCAGAAATAAGGGTGAAAGGCAGAATAAACCTTTGACAAAACATTATGTTTATATCTTGCTTTGTAATCCTTTATTGGCTTCATCTTACTATCATAATGGCCACTTGAGGGAACTGTCAGTATACGTTCTCATGTAAGGCTTTAAGAACTCCATAAGCAAGTGGTAATGAAATCTAACCCGTCTATTCTTAGTGTCTGCTTAATTTCATTTAGTATTCTGTCTCATAACTCTTTCAAAACCTGTGAACTAATCTTGTGCCTGTTATAGACATGCTAGCTGCTTACACATTAAATACTTTTGAACTGTATCATGGGTTTGCATGTGGAACAAGTATGCTGAATTCAGAACATTTCTTGTGGGTACTTAACTAGGTGTTATTTTCTTTATATCAGTGAATGCATTCCCTAAAATAATAGTTAGCTACACCTAAACAAGTTTAAATAACTTGTGTTTTACAACTGTGTTTTAGGTCAAGATGAAATCCATCGAGCAGAACGCTACAGCAAAGCAAAATGGATGTGAAGTCCATGAACCTGTGGCAGGCATATTTCTGGAGAAGACAGGAGAGAAGATCACAATTTATCAGGCAATGAAACAACGTTTGCTTAAACCAGGGACTGCATTAGCTCTACTTGAAGCACAAGTTGCCACAGTGGGTATTATAGATCCGATTGGCAATCGAATACTTCCTGTTGCAGATGCTGTTAAAGAGGGTGTTGTTGGTTCAGAAATGAGGGAGAAACTCCTTTCTGCAGAGAAAGCCATTAGTGGGTATATAGACCCTTACACTAATCAGATGATATCAGTGTACCAGGCTATGCAAAAAGATGTAGTCCCCAGAGATTATGGATTGAGGCTACTGGAAGCACAGATAGCCACCAAGGGTATCTTTGACCCTGTGGAGAAGACAACCCTTTCAGTTGATGATGCAATTCGAAAGGGTCTTTATGAAAAGTCTTTGATCAGTGACCAGATGTCAGAGCTGAGAGTCTTCTACAATCCAAGCACACAAGAAAATCTTAACTACCGAGGCCTTCTGGAAAGATGCACTGTGGAGTCTGACACTGGCTTAACGCTTCTTCCTGTCTGCATTGCCTTCAAAGGTCTGCGAAAAGGCATTTCCTCAAGTGAACTATTAGCGTCAAAAATCATTGATCAGAAAACCTATGAAGACTTGAAAACCGGAAAAACCACCACGCAAGATGTGATGTTGATGGAAACTGTGAAAGAATACCTGGAAGGTAAAGGCAGTATAGCAGGAATTGCTGATCTTTCAAATGGTCAGAGAATGAGCATATATCAAGCCATGAAGCAAGGGATACTGATGCCAGGTACAGCTCTTGTTTTGCTGGAAGCACAAGCAGCAACTGGGTTTATGATCGATCCTGTAGAAAACAAAAAGTACACTGTAGATGAAGCTATTAAGCACAAACTTGTTGGCCCTGAATACCATTTGAAGCTTCGTTCTGCTGAACGAGCGGTAACCGGATACAAAGATCCATATTCAGGAGACACTGTATCCTTGTTTCAAGCAATGTCAAAAGATCTCATCGTCAAGGAACATGGAATTCGACTTCTGGAGGCACAAATTGCGACAGGTGGGATAATTGATCCAATCAACAGCCACAGGCTTCCCACACAAGTGGCCTTCAAGAGAGGCTTTTTTGATGCAGAAATGAATGAGATACTAGAAGATGAAGGAGACGACACAAAAGGATTTTTTGATCCAAACACAGAAGAGAATTTAACATACCTCCAGCTGATCGAAAGGTGCGTTATCGATCCCGTCACCGGATTGTGCCTTCTTCCTCTACATGATAAGACAGGGAAATTTAATTCTAGCTTTATAGATTACATAACAAAAACAGTCTTCAAAACGGAGAAGGTCAAAGTGGCATGTGGGAAGTACATGGGAATGGAGGTATCTTTGTGGGAACTACTGATGTCAGAGTATTTTGATGAACAGCAGAGGACAGATATATTTCTGAAATACAGGGAAGGAAAGGTAAATATTGAGACTATCAAAAAAATAGTTTTGCAAACCATAGAGACATCTGTAAAATCAACAAAAACTGTCTTTGGGGGCATCAGGGAATCTGTCACAGCCAAGCAGCTTGTTGAAGCAGAAATTATCAGCAAGGATGTGCTGGAGGATCTGGAAAAGGGAAGAAAGTCGGTAAAAGATGTAATGGAAGATGAAAATATAAATGTGTACTTACAGGGAAAAGACAGCATTGCAGGTATTCTGCTTCCAGATTCCCAAATTATGACTATCTACCAAGCAAGACAAAAAGGAAAGCTAATGCCAGGAACGGCTCTGATTCTACTGGAGGCACAGGCAGCAACTGGCTTCATTATTGACCCTATTGGTAACAGGAAGTTTTCTGTGGATGATGCTGTCAAAGCTAAGGTTGTGGGACCAGATGTTTGTCACAAGTTGCGGTCAGCAGAGAGAGCAGTGACTGGCTATAAAGATCCACATGATGGAAAAATAATTTCCCTGTTCCAAGCAATGCAGAAGGACCTGATCGTGAAAGACCATGGGATTCGACTTCTAGAGGCACAGATTGCCACTGGTGGTATCATTGACCCAGTAAACAGCCACCGAATCCCTGTGCACGTAGCCTATAAGAGAGGGTACTTCAGTGAGGAGATGAATCAGATTTTGAGTGATCCAAGTGATGACACCAAAGGTTTCTTTGATCCAAATACACATGAGAACCTGACGTACTTGCAGCTAATGGCCAGATGTGTCAAAGATCCCAGTACAGGCTTGTGCCTTTTACCTCTGAAAGGCAAAGGGAGAAAAATAAATATTGATGACAAGATGAGAGAGGCTTTTCAAAGAACGACAATCAATGTCAAGTATGGCAGATTCAAGGGCAGCACAACTCTGTGGGAAGCAATTAATTCAGAATATCTGTCTGAGGACAGACGACAGGAGTATTTCAAACTTTACAAATCCAGGAAAATCACCATAGAGCAACTAACACTTATTATCATAGAGATAATTGAGAGTAAGGAGATAAAGCAGCAAGAAGAGCTCAACTTCAGAAGTCTCCGAGGAGAGGTCTCTGTTGTGGATCTTTTGGATCTTGAAATTGTGGATGATAAAACATACCACAATTTAATTGATGGAAAGATGTCAAGTAGTGATTTAATGAAGATGGAAAGTGTCCGAGCTTACCTGCAGGGCACAAGTTGTGTAGCAGGTTTGATACTGCAACCCTCCAATCAAAAGCTAAGCATCTATGAGGCACAGAAAATGGGTATCCTCACCCCAGGCACTGCCCTATGTCTCCTTGAAGCACAGGCAGCTACAGGATTTATTGTAGATCCTCTTAAAAACCAGAAACTTACAGTGGAAGAAGCACTGAAAGAAATGGTCATTAGTCCACAAACATACGAAAAGCTGTTGTCAGCAGAGAGGGCTGTCACTGGGTATAAAGATCCTTACACAGGTCAAAAGATCTCCCTATTCCAAGCCCTAAAAAAGGATCTTATTGTCAAGCAGCATGGCATTCGTTTACTCGAGGCTCAAATTGCCACTGGCGGCATTATTGATCCATTGAAATGCCTTCATTTACCTCTAGAAGTTGCATACAGGAAAGGTTATTTTGATGCAGAACTTAATCAAATCTTAACAGACCCCACTGATGACACAAAGGGCTTTTTTGACCCAAAGACACAAGAAAACCTGACATACATGGAAATGTTGAGTAGATGTGTGAAAGATAAAGAAACTGGACTCCTTCTCCTGCCACTGAACGACACACCAAAGACTACGAAAAAAACAGAAAAAACCTACACGGAAATGGAAATAAGGCAAGAGTTTGAAAAGAAATTTGTCACTGTAAGTGTGGGACGGTTTTCAGGAAAATCTGTTTCTCTCTGGGACCTGATTCACTCTTGTTATTTTACTGAAGAACAGCAGCTGGAAATGATTGAAAAAGCAAAATTGAGGCAGATGACCACCCAAAATATAATTACATTAGTGCTCTCTGCAATCGACAAACTGGAGAACGAAACCCTGAAAGTGACAACGGGACTGAGAAAAGAGGTCTCTGCACAGCAACTTCTCAATTCTGATATAATTGACTCAGCCATATTCAAACAGGTTAAGGAAGGAAAACTGGACTTTAAAGAAGTATGCCAAAAGGAATCCGTTGCAAAATACCTTAGGGGAACCGAAAGCATTGCTGGCATCAAAATTTATCCAACTCAGAATGTAATGAGCATATCTAAAGCAAAACATGAAGATCTTTTGACACCTGGCATTGCATTGGTACTGCTCAAAGCACAGTCTGCAACAGGATGGGTGATTGATCCTGTGAACAACAAGTTCTATTCAGTCGATGAAGCTGCGAAAGAGAATGTAATTGGACCAGATCTCCATGAGCAGCTTCTTTCAGCTGAGCGTGCTGTCACTGGCTATAAAGATCCTTACACAGATGGCACTATAAGCCTATTTGAGGCAATGAAAGAAAGACTGATTGAAAGAAGGGAAGGTCTCCTTCTTCTTGATGCACAAATCGCTACTGGAGGAATAATCGACCCAAATCAAAGCCACAGAATACCTTCTCATATAGCTATAAAAAAGGGATACCTTGATGAAGAAACTCACAAACTTTTGTTAAGCCCAAGTGATGATGCAAAGGGCTTCTTTGACCCTAATACCAATGAAAATCTATCATATCTTCAGCTAATGAGTCGATGTGAGCGAGATTCCAAAACTGGGCTGCTTCTTCTGCCACTGCATAAAGAAGAGTCCAGGGTGTTTCACACAGATGAGCAGGTGGAGCTTGCCTTTAAAAACAAGAGTATTTCCCTAAATGTAGGAAAATTCAAGAACAAAGAAGTAACAGTGTGGGAGTTGTTGCTTTCTGAATACATCACAAAAGAAAAGAGGGAACAGCTGATACAACAGTACAAAACAGGAGTTCTGAAAATAGAGGAAATAATTGAAATCCTCACAGTAATTATTACAGAGCTATCATCCAAACAAAGAAAGTTCAAAGGACTAAGAAAACAAGTTTCAGCAAGTGAACTGTTTGAGTCGAAGATTATTTCAAAGGAACTATTCAGCCAAATTATACAAGGCGAAGTAAGTGAGGAAAATGTAAACAAAATGGAATCCATTCAGAAGTACCTTGGAGCTACAAACTGTATAGCGGGTGTCAGAGTTGAATCTACAAAAAAAGTTATGAGCATCTATGAAGCCAAAAGTAGAGGTCTACTGACTCCTGGTACCTCTCTGGTTCTGTTGGAGGCCCAAGCTGCCACTGGCTTCGTCATTGACCCGGTCAACAACAAGAAACTTTCTGTAGAAGAAGCTGTTTCTCTCGGAGTGGTAGGCAAAGAGTGGAAGAACAAACTGCTTTCAGCAGAAAGAGCAGTTACAGGATACAAAGACCCCTACACCGGGAACACAATTTCTTTGTTCCAGGCCTTGCAGAAAGACCTAATTGTCAAAGATCACGGAATCCGTCTCCTTGAAGCACAAATTGCAACAGGAGGAATAATTGATCCAGTCCACAGTCACAGAGTGCCAGTACAGGTGGCATACCAAAGAGGTTACTTTGATGAAGAAATGAACCAAATTTTATCTGATGCTGATGATGACACCAAGGGTTTCTTTGACCCCAATACACAAGAGAACCTTACCTACCTGCAGCTAATTGAAAGATGTGCAAAAGATCCTGTTACAGAGCTCAACTTATTATCAATTGTAAAAAAAGGAGAGTTCTACTTCTATATTGATGAGGCCACAAAGCTCATTCTCAAGTCTACAACAACAACCAAAGCTGGCGGGAAATACAAAGGGATCACAGTTTCTCTGTGGGACTTGCTATACTCCAAATACATCACAGAAGAAAAGAGGAGGGACCTTGTCCAACAGTTCAAAGCTGGAACAATCACCATTGAACGCTTTTTAGAAATCATCTTGACAATCATTCAGCAGCAGACCACAACATCCACGCAAACCATCACCACAACAATTACAGAGACCACTGAAGACAAAACATTAAAGGGCATAAGAAAGGATGTAACAGTATCTGAGCTGGTTGAATCGAACATTATTGATGAAAAACTTTACAAGGAAATTACTTCTGGAAATGTCACGGTGGCTGAAGTTAGTGAAATGGACTCGGTACGTAAGTACCTTGAGGGAACCAACAGCATTGCAGGAGTATACATTCAGTCCACAAAGGAGACACTGAGCATATATGAAGCCAAAAGTAAAGGTCTACTGACTCCTGGTACCTCCCTGGTTCTGTTGGAGGCCCAGGCTGCCACTGGCTTCGTCATTGACCCAGTAAACAACAAGAAACTTTCTGTGGAAGAAGCTGTAGCTCAAAGTGTGGTGGGCAAAGAATGGAAGGACAAACTGCTTTCAGCAGAAAGAGCAGTTACAGGATACAAAGACCCCTACACCGGGAACACAATATCCTTGTTCCAGGCCTTGCAGAAAGATCTGATTGTCAAAGATCACGGAATCCGTCTCCTTGAAGCACAAATTGCAACAGGAGGAATAATTGATCCAGTCCACAGTCACAGAGTGCCAGTACAGGTAGCATACCAAAGAGGTTACTTTGATGAAGAAATGAACAGGATATTATCTGATGCTGATGATGACACCAAGGGTTTCTTTGACCCCAACACTAAGGAGAATCTCACCTACCTACAGCTGATTGAAAGATGCATTATAGATCCTGTCACAGGTCTAAGTCTGCTGGTCATTGTCAAGAAAGGAGAGTTCTACTTCTACGTTGATGAGGCCACAAAGCTCATTCTCAAGTCTACAACAACAACCAAAGCTGGCGGGAAATACAAAGGGATCACAGTTTCTCTGTGGGACTTGCTATACTCCAAATACATCACAGAAGAAAAGAGGAGGGACCTTGTCCAACAGTTCAAAGCTGGAACAATCACCATTGAACGCTTTTTAGAAATCATCTTGACAATCATTCAGCAGCAGACCACAACATCCACGCAAACCATCACCACAACAATCACAGAGACCACTGAAGACAAAACATTAAAGGGCATAAGAAAGGATGTAACAGTATCTGAGCTGGTTAAATCAAAGATTATTGATGAAAAACTTTACAAGGAAATTACTTCTGGAAATGTCACAGTGGCTGAAGTTAGTGAAATGGACTCGGTACGTAAGTACCTTGAGGGAACCAACAGCATTGCAGGAGTATACATTCAGTCCACAAAGGAGACACTGAGCATCTATGAAGCCAAAAGTAAAGGTCTACTGACTCCTGGTACCTCCCTGGTTCTGTTGGAGGCCCAAGCTGCCACTGGCTTCGTCATTGACCCAGTAAACAACAAGAAACTTTCTGTGGAAGAAGCTGTAGCTCAAAGTGTGGTGGGCAAAGAATGGAAGGACAAACTGCTTTCAGCAGAAAGAGCAGTTACAGGATACAAAGACCCCTACACCGGGAACACAATATCCTTGTTCCAGGCCTTGCAGAAAGATCTGATTGTCAAAGATCACGGAATCCGTCTCCTTGAAGCACAAATTGCAACAGGAGGAATAATTGATCCAGTCCACAGTCACAGAGTGCCAGTACAGGTGGCATACCAAAGAGGTTACTTTGATGAAGAAATGAACCAGATTTTATCCGACTCAGGTGATGACACCAAGGGTTTCTTTGACCCCAACACTAAGGAGAATCTCACCTACCTACAGCTGATTGAAAGATGCATTATAGATCCTGTCACAGGTCTCAGCCTGTTGGTCATTGTCAAGAAAGGAGAGTTCTACTTCTACGTTGATGAGGCCACAAAGCTCATTCTCAAGTCTACAACAACAACCAAAGCTGGCGGGAAATACAAAGGGATCACAGTTTCTCTGTGGGACTTGCTATACTCTAAATACATCAAAGAAGAAAAGAGGAGGGACCTTGTCCAACAGTTCAAAGCTGGAACAATCACCATTGAACGCTTTTTAGAAATCATCTTGACAATCATTCAGCAGCAGACCACAACATCCACGCGAAACCATCACCACAACAATCACAGAGACCACTGAAGACAAAACATTAAAGGGCATAAGAAAGGATGTAACAGTATCTGAGCTGGTTAAATCAAAGATTATTGATGAAAAACTTTACAAGGAAATTACTTCTGGAAATGTCACAGTGGCTGAAGTTAGTGAAATGGAATCGGTACGTAAGTACCTTGAGGGAACCAACAGCATTGCAGGAGTATACATTCAGTCCACAAAGGAGACACTGAGCATCTATGAAGCCAAAAGTAAAGGTCTACTGACTCCTGGTACCTCCCTGGTTCTGTTGGAGGCCCAAGCTGCCACTGGCTTCGTCATTGACCCAGTAAACAACAAGAAACTTTCTGTGGAAGAAGCTGTAGCTCAAAGTGTGGTGGGCAAAGAATGGAAGGACAAACTTCTTTCAGCAGAAAGAGCAGTTACAGGATACAAAGACCCCTACACCGGGAACACAATATCCTTGTTCCAGGCCTTGCAGAAAGATCTGATTGTCAAAGATCACGGAATCCGTCTCCTTGAAGCACAAATTGCAACAGGAGGAATAATTGATCCAGTCCACAGTCACAGAGTGCCAGTACAGGTAGCATACCAAAGAGGTTATTTTGATGAAGAAATGAACAGGATTTTATCCGACTCAGGTGATGACACCAAGGGTTTCTTTGACCCCAACACTAAGGAGAATCTCACCTACCTACAGCTGATTGAAAGATGCATTATAGATCCTGTCACAGGTCTCAGCCTGTTGGTCATTGTCAAGAAAGGAGAATTCTACTTCTACGTTGATGAGGCCACAAAGCTCATTCTCAAGTCTACAACAACAACCAAAGCTGGCGGGAAATACAAAGGGATCACAGTTTCTCTGTGGGACTTGCTATACTCTAAATACATCACAGAAGAAAAGAGGAGGGACCTTGTCCAACAGTTCAAAGCTGGAACAATCACCATTGAACGCTTTTTAGAAATCATTTTGACTATCATTCAGCAGCAGACCACAAAATCCACGCAAACCATCACCACAACAATCACAGAGACCACTGAAGAAAAAACATTTAAGGGCATAAGAAAAGATGTAACAGTATCTGAGCTGGTTGAATCGAAGATTATTGATGAAAAACTTTACAAGGAAATTACTTCTGGAAATGTCACAGTGGCTGAAGTTAGTGAAATGGCCTCGGTACGCAAGTACCTTGAGGGAACCAACAGCATTGCAGGAGTATACATTCAGTCCACAAAGGAGACACTGAGCATCTATGAAGCCAAAAGTAGAGGTCTACTGACTCCTGGTACCTCCCTGGTTCTGTTGGAGGCCCAGGCTGCCACTGGCTTCGTCATTGACCCAGTAAACAACAAGAAACTTTCTGTGGAAGAAGCTGTAGTGCAAAAAGTGGTGGGCAAAGGATGGAAGGACAAACTGCTTTCAGCAGAAAGAGCGGTTACAGGATACAAAGACCCCTACACTGGGAACACAATATCCTTGTTTCAGGCCTTGCAGAAAGATCTGATTGTCAAAGATCACGGAATCCGTCTCCTTGAAGCACAAATTGCAACAGGAGGAATAATTGATCCAGTCCACAGTCACAGAGTGCCAGTACAGGTAGCATACCAAAGAGGTTACTTTGATGAAGAAATGAACAGGATTTTATCCGACTCAGGTGATGACACCAAGGGGTTCTTTGACCCCAACACTAAGGAGAATCTCACCTACCTACAGCTGATTGAAAGATGCATTATAGATCCTGTCACAGGTCTCAGCCTGTTGGTCATTGTCAAGAAAGGAGAATTCTACTTCTACGTTGATGAGGCCACAAAGCTCATTCTCAAGTCTACAACAACAACCAAAGCTGGCGGGAAATACAAAGGGATCACAGTTTCTCTGTGGGACTTGCTATACTCTAAATACATCACAGAAGAAAAGAGGAGGGACCTTGTCCAACAGTTCAAAGCTGGAACAATCACCATTGAACGCTTTTTAGAAATCATTTTGACTATCATTCAACAGCAGACCACAAAATCCACGCAAACCATCACCACAACAATCACAGAGACCACTGAAGACAAAACATTAAAGGGCATAAGAAAGGATGTAACAGTATCTGAGCTGGTTGAATCGAAGATTATTGATGAAAAACTTTACAAGGAAATTACTTCTGGAAATGTCACAGTGGCTGAAGTTAGTGAAATGGACTCGGTACGCAAGTACCTTGAGGGAACCAACAGCATTGCAGGAGTATACATTCAGTCCACAAAGGAGACACTGAGCATATATGAAGCCAAAAGTAAAGGTCTACTGACTCCTGGTACCTCCCTGGTTCTATTGGAGGCCCAGGCTGCCACTGGCTTCGTCATTGACCCAGTAAACAACAAGAAACTTTCTGTGGAAGAAGCTGTAGCTCAAAGTGTGGTGGGCAAAGAATGGAAGGACAAACTGCTTTCAGCAGAAAGAGCAGTTACAGGATACAAAGACCCCTACACCGGGAACACAATATCCTTGTTCCAGGCCTTGCAGAAAGATCTGATTGTCAAAGATCATGGAATCCGTCTCCTTGAAGCACAAATTGCAACAGGAGGAATAATTGATCCAGTCCACAGTCACAGAGTGCCAGTACAGGTAGCATACCAAAGAGGTTACTTTGATGAAGAAATGAACAGGATATTATCTGATGCTGATGATGACACCAAGGGGTTCTTTGACCCCAACACTAAGGAGAATCTCACCTACCTACAACTGATTGAAAGATGCATTATAGATCCTGTCACAGGTCTCAGTCTGCTGGTCATTGTCAAGAAAGGAGAGTTCTACTTCTATGTTGATGAGGCCACAAAGCTCATTCTCAAGTCTACAACAACAACCAAAGCTGGCGGGAAATACAAAGGGATCACAGTTTCTGTGTGGGACTTGCTATACTCCAAATACATCACAGAAGAAAAGAGGAGGGACCTTGTCCAACAGTTCAAAGCTGGAACAATCACCATTGAACGCTTTTTAGAAATCATCTTGACTATCATTCAACAGCAGACCACAACATCCACGCAAACCATTACCACAACAATCACAGAGACCACTGAAGAAAAAACATTTAAGGGCATAAGAAAGGATGTAACAGTATCTGAGCTGGTTGAATCGAAGATTATTGATGAAAAACTTTACAAGGAAATTACTTCTGGAAATGTCACAGTGGCTGAAGTTAGTGAAATGGACTCGGTACGTAAGTACCTTGAGGGAACCAACAGCATTGCAGGAGTATACATTCAGTCCACAAAGGAGACACTGAGCATATATGAAGCCAAAAGTAGAGGTCTACTGACTCCTGGTACCTCCCTGGTTCTGTTGGAGGCCCAGGCTGCCACTGGCTTCGTCATTGACCCAGTAAACAACAAGAAACTTTCGGTGGAAGAAGCTGTAGTGCAAAAAGTGGTGGGCAAAGAATGGAAGGACAAACTGCTTTCAGCAGAAAGAGCGGTTACAGGATACAAAGACCCCTACACCGGAAACACAATATCCTTGTTCCAGGCCTTGCAGAAAGATCTGATTGTCAAAGATCACGGAATCCGTCTCCTTGAAGCACAAATTGCAACAGGAGGAATAATTGATCCAGTCCACAGTCACAGAGTGCCAGTACAGGTGGCATACCAAAGAGGTTACTTTGATGAAGAAATGAACAGGATTTTATCCGACTCAGGTGATGACACCAAGGGGTTCTTTGATCCCAACACTAAGGAGAATCTCACCTACCTACAGCTGATTGAAAGATGCATTATAGATCCTGTCACAGGTCTCAGTCTGCTGTCATTGAAAAAATAAAATCAATTAATGGGATCAGTATTAATGGCTAGAATTTGTTTACCATCTAACTGTAATAATGCGGTAAACAAAGCATGTTTTTGCTCGACCTGCAGTACATACAGCCCTTACACTCTACAAGGGGGGAGTTCTTGTTTTTCATAAATCACAACTAAATCGAAGATGTAAATTTTTTTCTGTCGATAATACAGCTTTTTAGTTAATTATGAGAATTGAAAGGTTAAAAAATCTTGAAAAGAAATTAAATTCTTGTCTTATGGCATGGAGATGTTTTTTTTTATTTTAAATATATTTTCCTTTTAATCTGCTGTTTGTTTCAAACCAAACTTGTTTGCTTTTTCTATTTTGGGATGTAGTCTAAACAAGAAATCCCTTTTCATTTTCTCTTATTCACAAGCTTAAATAAACTGCTGTAACATACATTTTCTCATGTTTTCTTTTTTATTTTTCTTTCCCTCAAGAAATAAACTTTTTATCCTTAGCATTTAGTGCTTGCATGGTTTTTACGTTAGCCCTCTGAGAAACATCTTTCAACAGTAAAGTATATGCATACAGTCTGTAATAAAGGAGGAAATAAAAGTCACAGATTGCTAAGACAAATGGTTTATTTGTGCTTTTGAATTAAACGACTTATAAAAAACATGAACCGTTATTGAAATTTTTTACAAATAAAGACTTTGAAAACTGTATAAAAAAATAACAACCCTGAGGAATGGCATGTTTTAAAAAACAAGCTGGAAGCTCCCTTTGAACAGTAGAAACCTTATGCCGAACCAGGCTCAGGGTGAGCGGCCATCTTTTCAGGCCGACTTGGGTTCAAGGAGACGGTGTCAAAGGCGTGAGACACCGAAAGGCTCTGCCATCAGTGCAGCTTGACCAACAGCTCACGAATCTCTCCTTGGCTCCTGTAGATCTTTTTCATTCCTCTTGGAAGGTTGCGACATGATGTGAGATTAAGGTAGTTTAAACCCGTCAATCGCTCAACAACTGGCCTGCGACAACAAATGGCATTTAGTGAGAAGAAATGGCACGGGTGATTAAAGGACTAGATTAGTCAATACTGGAAGTGAAGCAAAGTGATACATTTTTCCCATTCCATGATGCACTACTTCATTTATTGTTTGTGTAAGAACCAATGGCGGCTAGTGGAGTTTTCTCCAAAAAGCAATCAAACTTATACTAAGTTATCACACCAGTATATTTATATAAATCTTGCCCTTCTAAAGGCTATGAAGGTAAATATGTGTTTTCCATGGTCCTATATTGTGTCACAAACCTCAAAAAAAAACTACCAGTTAAACAATGGAGAAGCTATTAGTCAGCTTTTAGTCAGCAAATTAGACTATATTCTATTGTTTTCCATGTGAATCCCAGATTGTTCATTCATCTTTGCCTTTTCTAAAAAGTGCTTTAAATCAGTCCTATGTAGTCAGAAAAAAAAGTATTCAACTATTTGCTCCAGTTAAATAAAAGGAGATCGATGGATTTCGCTTGATCATCAGTTAATTTTCGTATCTTTGCAAAGATAGAACGGTTCATCATACGGCCCTTTTTGCACAGTAATCAGCCCTGTTCTGCCTGAGCAGCGTTCGTTCCTCCTTATTTAAAATAATGGAAAGTAGTCAGAGTCAAAACTAATTACAGACACTTTGGTTAAACAGTAACATGTTATGAATAAACCTTCAGAAAGAATCTGGTTTGTTATGGGAAGAAGCTATGTCTGGTCTAAAAACACCCTCACAGGGGAATTGTGTGGCCTTGCAGGTGAAACAGGCTGAGTGAAAACTTTTATAGTTAGTAAATAGCATAAATTAATATATGAAATAAGAGAAACTAAATTTTCCTACCACACCCTACCTGTCTTTATCCATGCTGGGTTAGATCCTGATGTTTGAAAAAGGAGGCAGGGGAAGCAAAATAAAGCGTTAGCCTCGCTGCATGCAATTAGCCTAGCCATGGGTATAAACCAAGTCCTGGAAAAAGACGTTTCTTGCACCTTTTCTCTCTCTCTCTCCAATGTGTCTCTTACTCCCACGACTCGACCTGTCACTCATGGTGAGCAAATACACTTCCTGTCGCTGCTCAGCTCCGCCCAGAGCTCTCCTATAGCTTAGTATTGCAGAGGAAATACGTCACAAATCTGACGAAAAATTGTTAAATATTTCTCCTGCACATCTAAAAAATATAAATCAATATGTTTCAAAATATTTTTAATTTAAAATATATAAAAAAAGCTTTTTGTCTTTATTTTGTTTTTATAAACTAGATTTTAAATGCGATGATAATCACAATTAATTTTAATGCCAATTAAGGCCTTTAAATTAAAAAAAATAATAATAATTTTATGAATTTCAATGGTTTTTAATGATCTGCAGAAACCCTGATGAATATCTTTTAACAATCTATTAATATTTGTTTTATTTAATTCAAAATAAAACTGCTCTCCAACACATTCTATCATTAAAGTTTCACTACAGCTGCTTGCAAAAAGTTTTCAACTCTGTTTTCTGGTCTATATCCCTAAGGCCCCGTCCACACGAAGTCCAAACGAACACGAAACGCTAATATTTTCCAGGACATTTGTCTTAAAGACGGAGACATAAAATAAATGTGATCGTCCACACGAATGCATGAAAACGCTGCAAAATGTATGCCAGGCCTGTAAGTGGCGCTGTGGTGCCAAAGCAAAAACAGGCGACGAAATGTTGGGCATGCGCACTAATATTTATACATGGTTGCCCTGCGGGTCCATTTTGGTGGTTCAGTCAAATTCAGGTGCTGAACTATGTGGTCGATATTGCTCTGTTCTTCCTGGAGATATTCCAGAAGAAGAAGATTCTGTTGTAAGCCCGACAGCAGGGTGAGTAGCATGAGCAGCAACCATTCAACACAGTACGGCGCCATTGTTGTTGTGATACTGTGTCACGCATGCGTGTTTAGAGGTGACGCTATGACACATGCGTGTAAGAAAAAAAATGCGGTTAGAGCTTAAAGATGGAAACGCGAAAACGGCGTTTCAAAATCTTCCCAATCTGAAGGCTTAATAAAAAAAGATCGTTTACAGACCCCCGAAACGCCGGCTTCGTATGGATGAGAGGCTGATTTGGTGAAAAATTTGTGCGTTTAGGCCAGGGTTTGACATCGTGTGGACGGGGCCTAAGAATGTCTCTTTTTTTTCTCAAAACTTTGCAAAAGCTTAAAAACTCGTCCAATTTAAAGTCAGTTGTAATAGAATCAATATGTCTGCAGTGTTTCAGTTGATTTTTAGAACAGAACACGCACAAAACCAATAATGATTATAGTTATAATCCATAAAATTAAATTTTATTATTTAATTGGTTCTATTTATTTTTTTATCCCTTTATTTGTAAAAGTTCAGATAGAAATGATGCCGGTTTTACCTGAGCGCCTTCGCCGTGACCTTGGTGCCGGTGAGGTTCAGTGAGACGAGCGTGTTTGCATCAGACAACTGAGAGAGGAGTCTCAGCGAGCCCTCCAGGTCGGCCTCAGTAAAAGGCTGATTGGTGATGTCGAGCTGCCGGAGCGTATGACCCCACTTCTCTATCAGCAGGTGGAGGTTGTCCTTGATTCCATAGGGGTTGGTGAAATACACGCCCCAGAAAAGGCACTCAAGCTCTGAATCAGAACACAAAAACCAGCAGAACGGATCAGCAAAACTCTCCGAGTCACAAACCCCGAGTCAAAATCAATAACCTGCATAAAGAGTCTTTTTATTTTTTTGCCAGCGGGACATTTTCTCAGCCGAAATAGAAGGATTTATTTAAGCTTAACTGTAGAAAATGAAACTTTTATCTTAACTGTTGTGAAGTTTTACTCTCCTATGTAGGAATTTATAAAATTAACCAAAATAAAGTGTCTGGTTACAGAGTTAAACAAGTCACGAGACGTAATGATGTAGAAATATAATCTAAATGTATTTATTATATAGGGTCTTTAAGTAATAGAGCTGCAATTAACAGTTACTTTGCAAATAAATTAATCTTTCGATTCTTTTTTTGATCAATCGATTAATAATTGGAGAGACAAAGGTTCCTTAAAGAAGACTTTTTTTTTTACAAAATCAAACGAGGTGAAACTAAAACGTTTTAAATTAAGCTCTGGATTATAGAGCAGATTGACAGATGAAAAAATGTTTTTTACGCTACCATTCAAAAGTTTGGGGTCACATTGAAATGTCCTTATTTTTGAAGGAAAAGCACTGTACTTTTCAATGAAGATAACTTTAAACTAGTCTTAACTTTAAAAAATACACTCTATACATTGCTAATTTGGTAAATGACTATTCTAGCTGCAAATGTCTGGTTTTTGGTGCAATACATTCAAATAGGTGTATAGAGGCCCATTTCCAGCAACGATCACTCCAGTGTTCTAATGGTACAATTTGTTTGCTCATTGGCTCAGAAGGCTAATTGATGATTAGAAAACCCTTGTGCAATCATCATCACACATCTGAAAACAGTTTAGCTCGTTACAGAAGTTACAAAACTTACCTTCCTTCCATACAGCATGGTACTTGCAAAATGGCTATCTAAATAGTGCAGATTGAGTTTCTGGAGCATCGCATTTTTGGGGTCAATTAAACACTCAAAATGGCCAGAAAAAGAGAACTTTCATCTGAAACTCGACAGTCTATTCTTGTTCTTAGAAATGAAGGCTATTCCATGCGAGAAATTGCTAAGAAACTGAAGATTTCCTACAACGGTGTGTACTACTCCCTTCAGAGGACAGCACAAACAGGCTCTAACCAGAGTAGAAAAAGAAGTGGGAGGCCGCGTTGCACAACTGAGCAAGAAGATAAGTACATTAGAGTCTCTAGTTTGAGAAACAGACGCCTCACAGGTCCCCAACTGGCATCTTCATTAAATAGTACCCACAGTAGCCTGTTTGTGCTTTCCTCTGTAGGGAGTAGTACTGGTGATGTCATCAAGAATCACCTCTCGGCCTCAGTCCCCACAGAAACTGTCCCACGCCGTTTATTGCTGCGTTTTTCTTTTCTTTAGACGTAGATCTCATTATGTTTTTAATTGATGAACATTCTCTATCTGTTCTGGTTCTAGATCCTAAACAGACTGGTTAAGTGGAGCTTTGCTTTATACAGGGTTCCTACAGCATAAGGCCAGTTAAATTCAAGACTTTTTAGTGCCACTTGAAATAAAAATGTAAGACCAAATTCACAAAAACCACAAGAAAAACCCAAAGGTTTATTTTAACATAAACCACTGCACTAATGTTTCAAATGTTGAAAAGCTTCCCATACAGGAAGAAAGCTAAAGACACACAAATGACAGATATATTTTAACAATTATTTAACTGAATTCACAAACTTGGTTTTAGCAGCGAACAAAACAAATCAGTTTTAAAGCCACAACATAACCAGTGCTAAGTCTTTTTAGCAGCTATTTTTCTTTGTATGGTTTTCTTAGGATGTTTGATTGGTAACTCGATTTTGACGCTTTCTGTTTCGTGCTTCGCATGTGCGACTCCACTGCCATAATTCCCATCGTTCGTGGAGAAAACTCAATTTTGGTTACATTTACACTTGCTCATATTTTCCAAACAAAAAGTTAATGGAGCATCTCCCAAATGTCCCGGCCGCAACAACGCTTTTATTGGTTCCGCTATCGGGACGGAACCAATAATGAAGAGCCGTTATTTTTTTTTCAAATAATTTTTTTTTTTTTTTCAATTTTAATGTTTTATTTAGATTACAAAAATAAATCGTAATAAAAATAATCCTATTTATGATATTTTTAAAAATAGGACCTACGAAAGACTGATTTAAGAAATTTTAATACCAATTAAGGCCTTAGTTTTATTTTGAAGAATTCAATGCCTTTTAAGACTTTTTAAGGACCCGTGGGAACCCTGGTATTGAATGAGCCGGTTGTTATTTTTCAAATAACTTTTCATAATCTGTTCCAGTCAAATGTGAGGAATTGTTTTAATGTGTGTGTATCACAGAGACAGAAGCGAAAAAATCCGCTCACCCTCTCTATACGCAGTTAGTGTGATCGGAGGTTAAAAAGTGGCATGCAGCTGCTGTGTTCAAGGCTTAAAGGTTGTTCACCAGCCCGCATTAAATGAGAAGAGGAAGGAGACGGAAGCATAACCATCCATCAACGCCATAAAGCTGTAGATTGGTACCTGTAAAATTCGAAGTTAGTTCTCATAGATCCGGGTACTCGTTAATTTGTAATTTATATTCGCAAATGAGTGGTTGGATGTCGTGCATTCAGTGTATTTGTTCATGCATTTTTGCAAAGTCGCTCTGTTTTTGTAACATTTATACTTGTATAGGGCTTGGTCGTCATGACGTAAGCACTTTGCGTTGCCGCCATATTGACGGCCTCTTTTACCGCGGCTCAGACTACTGCCTATGACTACCGCATACTGTACTCCTTCTCAGCCTGATTAATTTCACCTTAACTTGGTTTCAACCATGGTAAACCGTTGCTGTATTGTGGGCTGTAACAGCTCAACACATGATCGCCATGGAAACATAGAAAATGGGTTAACTTTCCACCGCTTTCCTGCCTGGAGGCGTAACCACGGAGACCAAGCGTCAGAGATAAAGAGTCATCGTCTAGCTTGGATCGCGGCTGTAAGACGACCGAACATAACTTTCCACAGTATTCCAATGTCATTGAGAGTGTGTTCCCTGCATTTTCATTCTGCTAAGTTAAAGATGCACGGTTTTATTTTATAGCCTACTTTGTTTCTTTCCTTCAAAGTTGGGATCTTTTACGGGAAAATAATAAAAACGGCAGCTGGAAAAGGCTCAAATACGTGAGAAACCTGGAGGGTTGGCAGTTAACGTTACTAACTACACCTCTGAAACACATAGTAGCTAGTTAAAAGTACATTACATGCGTGAGTGGTTGTTAGCATTAGCGGTTAGCAGTTGCTAAACTAGCAGGTTCCAGAGCCCGTCTGATCACAGCGTACCTTCGTACGGATTACTGTGTTCCCACTGTTTGCTGGCTTTATGATCTGCAGCTCCTGAACCCATCCATTCATGAACTGCATATGAGACTCCAAGGACTTGTAGCTTGGGAACTGTTTTGAAGTATAGGCGCTCACTCATCGGTGCTCCACTGATTGTTTGGAACTTCATATGGATCCAAAGGATTAATAATGCTGATTTTGTCAACATACCGGTCCCTGGCTTCTCTATTTAATGTGTCCCGGTAAATTCCAGATCTTTTTCGGGATTTTAACATCTTTTTTCTCTCTACTTCTGTCAATATGACCGCGACGTCCCACAATGCAACGTGGATCCCGAGCCCTATTCTCACAAATTTATGTAACGCTTTTATTGGTGGTTATCTCACCCCGTATGGTTTCACAATCAAAGAAAACCATTTGTTCTGTGGAAATGTAAAACATTAAAGCAGAAAGGAGGCCCTTTTTTTACTCACCTTGAGACGGCAGCTCTGCCAGCCCACCGGCTGTAATCCGCTTAGCCCCACGTAGGTCCAGCACTCGCAGTTTGGTGGAACCGAACAGAGTATCCAGCAGAACTTCGTCCGTCATGTAGGAGTGTGCAGCGTTGGTGACACAAAACTCGTCCAGAAGAGGGAAACCGCACTCGGACTCGTCTATCTTACGATTCACCTTTTCCGTAATCTGGATGTTCATCATCCGGAAGATCTGGAACAAAGCGGGAAAACAGGATTAATGGATCATCAAACACTGGAAATTGGCTCTATATCGAAAATTTTAATTCAGTTTATTTCTATAGCACCAATTCACAACACATGTCATCTCAAGGCTCTTTGCAGTTCACCAGATCATCCGGTCAGAGACATAGACAGGTATGGGGCTTTGCAGGCTAACAAGGAGGCCAAACGACCCCCATTCCAAAGGGGGGGACCTGTTTGATCGTTTTAATCTGCATGTTTTCTAAACAAAAACAAGGTTTTGTTGGGCTGCTGGATAAAGATAATGACCTGGATAAGTGAGAATCTTGACCAGCAAACATCGGGACGATCGGAGAGCTCAGCAACAAATCTGGTTCTGGATTACTGGGCCAATGATTGCTTCTTACCGAGATATACAGGGTTCGTACACCTTTTCCAAAGTCAAAATCAAGCACTTTTCAAGCACTTTCAAGGTCCATTTTTAAACTTTTTCCAGCACCTTGGAACCACCTGGATCCCCGTTCTTTTTGGCCCTCATGTCCCTCCGTCGTCGGACTAAACTCGCCCCCACTTCCTCGCCGCCTCGGCCGTATCTAGACCCACAGCGTGTAGCACAGACCACGCTTCAATATTGAGCATAAATCAAAAATGTCTGCATCAAGCTCACTGCTACACACTGCTGTAAGAGTATAACCAGGAAGCGAGGTAGGAGGGCAGAATAGGTTTAGCGCCACCGCAGCACGGGAGGGAGAATTACGCCCAGGAGCAAATGGATAAAAATAGACCGGAGCAAAAAAAAAACATGAATCGATTCTCTTGCGGACGAATCGATGCATCGGATCGTCGGCTGTTGGATCGATGCATCGATACAAAACGATTATTATTTACACCCCTAATCTAGCCTAGAGCTGTCAGTCTGGTAAAGAATCTGGTTGTTATTCCAAATTGTAAAGGTTCACTTTTTTTTTGCAACATAAAACGGACTAAAACCTCTTTAAGTTTTAGTCGACTAAAACCGACTAAAACTATCACATATCGTACTGACTAAAATGTGACTAAGACTAATAATAGTATTCATCCTGAAGATTAAATCTAAGACGGCTGCTAAAAAAAACAACACTGTTAACGGAGGAGGGGAACTGATGATGAAGGTGCAGAAAACTCCCACCTGTGCTTTACATGGGGCAGATTAGTGGTTTTCCTGGATTGAGTCTGATGCAGCCAATCCAGGCCTTACTGTTGCTCTCTTGCTTCTGTTTAAGTTTTCTTTTGAGTTTTCAGTTTCACGTTGATCCATGTTTTTCTTTGTTTTCTAGTTAGTTATTGGTTTAATTCCTATTTCGAGGTGTTTTCTAAATCTATTTGAGATCTTAGGGATTTCTTGGTTGCCCTCTTGTGTTGGTCTCCTTTTCCCTGGCTCCTTTCTAGGCTCCTCTCTTCATCCCAAACAGCTCATTAGTCCCGTCGTTGTTCTGTCTCCCATATATCCTCTCCACGTGCAGTTCCTCGTCTTTTCCCGGCTCCTCACACATGTTTTTCCCTGATGTCTCCAAGGTTATGGTTTTTTCTGTATTTATTATGTTGGATTTTTGGATTCCTGCCTCAGTTGCCTGTGAGTACTACATTAAAACTACAAACATCACCTCTGCCTCCTCAACTCTCTCTGCATTTGGGTCCTTAAAACCTCAACCCAATCCTGACACTTATGGGTTGAAAGTGAAATAAGGAGGATGAATTCATTAGATAGATACGAGGAAGCTTTGTCTCAAAGAAATAGGTTTCTGCTGTGACAATAGGGAGTAGGGCTGCAACTAACAATTATTTTAAAAATCGATGAATCAGCCGATTATTTTTTCGATTAATTGATGAATCGGACAAAAAATATTTTTTATATTAACCTCTTTATTCCAAAATAAACATTTTAGACGGAACAAACAAGCACACAAGTACAGGTTGCTCATTAACTGTCCTGGTGCAATATGAAAAATAAATGTTTGTGTTAAAACTACGCAAACTTACATGAGAAATGTAGCTGTACATCCACAAAATATAGGCTAGTTTGTTTCATAAAGTGCAAAAAAAGACATTTTTGTTTTTAAAAGCCCCTAAGGGGTTCAAACAATAGGCCCCCCCATTTCAACAAATGAGTTTTTTTAGACTAGAAGAGTTCTGCCTTTTAAGACAGGAAAGTATAGCAGTTAAAGTTGCTACTTGAGAAAATACTGAACCATAGAGATAAAAATAGCCCTGTGATTCAAATTATAAATTGTAATTGGAATAAAAATGAGAGAACTAGGGGTGCTAAAAAACACATCCTCCAAAGACAGATATTTACATGGGAATGTGGCAGATAATTAATTGACATATTACTGATCTTGCTGGATTTTATTCTGCTTTACTTCCATAAATTGCAGGATCTTCTTTACTTTATCTTTGCCAGAAGATTTAAACTTTAAAAGCCTTGCCCTCATAATTTGCAAGTTAATTTATTTATAAAAGCTATTTTAATTATTGTGATCAATTTGCGCCGTCAATCCCGGTGCATGCGCGCTTCATTTGCAGTCTGGACGCTGAAACATCCTGCGGCTCTGACTGCAGCGCTGAGAGGGACTCCTGCGGGAGAACGGGGTTGGGATGGGGGAGGCGCCCCACGGCAGAGTAGGAACAATACATGCTTTCACGTAAGAGTCTCCAAAAGCCAACAGTGACACCGTAAAAAGTCGCCAGATTTGTCGCTAGTCGCTTTTTTGAAAAATAGTCGCTGGAGGGGTCTGAAAAGTTGCTAAATATAGCGACAAAGTCGCTGAGTTGGCAACACTGCGCACCTGCAGCGCTGGCACGCTGTGCGGTAATATTTTTTCTTCCCCTGTTTCAGTCAAGTGGATGTGATGATGGCGGCGGCGGATGATGCATTAATCGTGCGACACAACTAATCGATGATGAAATTCATTCGCCAACGCTTTTAAAAGTCAATTTTTATCGATTTTATTGATTCGTTGTTGCAGCCCTAATAGGGAGTATTTCTTACCTTAAGTTTTGGGCAGGAGTGCTGCAGCATCTTAAAGCAAACGCACATATCTGTGTCTTTACTCGCCACGCTGTTGTTAATGTCCAACAGCTCCAGATTAGGACAGCAACCCCTCTGCAAAAAAAGAAAGAAAAAACCATGAGCAGAGTCTGTAAAATGAGGCCAGCTGACTGTTTTCCAGCCGACAGGAAGTAGCCTCACGGAGATGGCCGACAGAAGTTTGTCGTGTCTGCTGCTGCGGGTGAACAGCATCTGCCTGATCTGGTTCCCGTGTTCCTCCAGGTACTGCACGACCGCATCAATCTGAAACTACAGCAAAGCAAGAACGATAGCTTTAAAACTGATTATGAACTCACAGATAAAATTATTTCACTTCAATCAGTCGAAAGAAAATGATTTAACATTCTTTTAATAAGAACATGCATATCTTAGAATGAGGCTGCCTAGATACGCCTGGCCAGCCAAACTAATATCTATTCAGTTTATTTCTATAGCTCCAATTCACATCACATACATTCACATCTCAGCTCACTTTCCAGTTCACCAGATCATCCAGTCAGATTGATTCAGATTGACCAGGGAGACGTCCAGGAGGCATCCTAACCAGATGCCTGAGCCTCCTCAACTGGCTCCTCTCGATGTGGAGGAGCAGCGGTTCTACTCTGAGTCCTCCCAGGATGACTGAGCTCCTCCCCCTCTCTAAGGGAGAGCCCAGACACACTACTGAGAAAACTCATTTCACCTGCTTGCTGCATCATGACCATAGATGCGGGTAGGAAGCATCAATAAACGATTTATTGATTACTAAATTAGTGGATGATTATCAGAATAATTGTTTCAGCCCTATTTGAATGATGGTCAAAAAGGCTGATTTTGGGTGATTGATGGCAGATGAATGATCCCATTTATTACTAGTTTAATATTTGTTGCTATTATTTATTTACTGTGTGAAAAGTGGAAGAAAAATGAATTTTCTAAACACTAAAAAACAGCCTCTGTTCTTCACCAACAGCAAATAAAAACCTCAGAGTTCAGTTTAAGGACGTAGATCATTTGCAGTAGAATGGGTGACGTGGCGGATCTACACAGAATTCAAAACAAAGACAATCTTCATACTTCTTACAAACACAGGAAGTCCACAGATGAAACTAATCCCACCAGAAAAGGGCGGAGCTTATTTTTTTAGACCAAAATCTGAAATCCCCAGAAGTTCTCCCTCCTGTTCGTGTTGAACTGTGAAAATACTGACTGCCTTCGATAAAAAGGATAAAATGCCGGAATGAGAGCGGCAGCATCAGCACATGTACCTGCGAGTGCTGCAGATTGATGGTCTGCAGGGAGCGGCTGTGCAGACCCAGGCTGTGCATCCCGCTCGCCGTCAGACCTTTGCAGTACGACAGGTGGAGGGAATGAAGGTGGGGACAAAACTTTGAAATGCTCTAAATGAGTCAACAAACAGAAACAAAGCCATATTTTTCATTTAGGCGATTTATTTCGATGGATTTTTGGTACATCTTTAACGTTTAGAATAAAATCATTCATTTTCAAAAGAGGAGTTTCTATGACGGAGTTTTAGGGCCAGGCTAGGGATTTTTATTTCAAGAATAAAGGCGTAACATTACGAGAATAAAGTCATATAATTACAAAAATAGAGTCATAAAATTACCAGAATAAATTCTTAAAATTTTGAGAATAGTTGTATAAATACAAGAATAAAGTAATACAATGTTAAGAATAAAGTTGTAAAATTACAAAAATAAAGTCATTAAATTACGAGAATAAAGTCATAAAATTACGAGAATAAAGTCATAAAGAGAGTAGTCATAAAATTACAAAAATAAAGTCATTAAATTACGAGAATAAAGTCATAAAATTACAAAAATAAAGTCATAAAATTACGAGAATAAAGTCATAAAATTATGAGAATAAAGTCATAAAATTAGGAGAATAAAGTCATAAAATTACGAGAATAAAGTCATAAAATTACAGTAGTCATAAAATTACAAAAATAAAGTCATTAAATTATGAGAATAAAGTCATTAAATTACGAGAATAAAGTCATAAAATTAGGAGAATAAATTCATAAAATTACAAAAATAAAGTCATTAAATTAGGAGAATAAAGTCATTAAATTAGGAGAATAAAGTCATTAAATTAGGAGAATAAAGTCATAAAATTACGAGAATAAATTCATAAAATTGTGAGAATAAAGTCATAAAATTACCAGAATAAAGTCGTAAACGAGAAAAAAAGTTGTATTTTATGGCAACTCTTCCCAGAATCCCTTTCTTCCCTAAAATGAGGAATGTGGAGCATCATGTGAAGTTCTACTTTAGCATCGGTTTGACCAATCAGGAAATCTTTTAGCAGCAGCATCAAACTGGGCAGGATGTCAAAGTTGACTCTGGTTGCTGATTGGTGGAGCTGGTCGGCCGTCATCTGCTGGGCGGAGCTCCAAGCTTTCTTTCTGAAACATGTTGCTGTATGATGACTTTATTCTCGTAATATTACGACTTTATTTCCAAAATAAAGAAAATGTAAACATTTCTAGCCCGGCCCTAATACTCCAACGTAAGTTTCTCCTTATGGGTTTAAAAAGTTTAAGTTGTAGATTTAAAGTCCTTTAGTTTCAGATTTACCTCTAAGGTGAAGTCAACATTCTTTGCCCAGTGACAGAGAGTAAAGTCCCGCAGCTGTGAGAACCTAAAGAAGAACAACAGTGAGGTTTTTAGCTCCAACGAGGAGCTCAACTGGTTCAAACATCAGCTGTCCTCCAGAAGCTCTCACCTGTTTTCCGTCAGCCAGGCCACGGTCTCCTTGATCCTGTCTCTCGTCTTTGCAAACAATTTCTTTGCTGGCTGATACCAACAGTAACCTACGGTCACTTTTCTCCACAGAATCGGGGTGGAGGCAGCGGCGTTCCACAGACGACAAACTCGTCCGACCCTGAAGCACAAACCAAGGAGAAAATGTCAGATAAAAGCTGTGAGCAGAAGTGAGACCACAGCAGAGAGGAGGAGGAAAACAGGGTTCCTACCTGCAGAGGAAAGGCACCGCCCCGTCTTCAGCAGCCACCATTTGAAAGATGTAGACCAGCACCTCCTCTGGTAAATGCTGTCCCCACCTGTCCTCAGACTCGGCCGCATGGACAGGAGGCTTCTCCCGTTCTTTCTCCTGATCCGGGGACACAACAGGAGGTTTCTTTTTCACTGGTTTCCGTTTCAGCGGAGGTTTTTCCTGAGAGACTGATTTCTTTTTCTTAGGCGACTTTGCTTTGGACACTATTTCACTGTCTTCTGACCAAGGAACGTCGTCAGAATCAGTCGAATCATCTATCCCAAAAAACACGATGTCTTCCCCTGGCCCGTTGAAGGTGGGCTGTTGGAAGTGGAACGGTGGGGTCTTTTTGGCTTTCTTTGCTTTAACAGCCACATTGCTTTTCAGCCGTTCTTTCCTGGGCGTGGTTTTCCCAGATCCAGATGCTCCAGATGCTGAATCGACACGGCTGCCTCCAGGCTGGACTGAACTGTTGTAGTCGAATTCCTCCATCAATACTTTGGTTTGAAATGTCTAAGAACATCAGGAGAAAGCACGACAGAGAAAACTCAGTTAGACATTATTTCAACGCCACAAGTTCAAGTTGTTTTCCTACGATGGAGTATTAGGGCAAGGCTAGATTTTTTATTTTTCGAGATAAAGTCATAAAATTACTAGCATCAAGTCGTAACAAAAAAATTCATAGAATTACGAAATTAAAATCATAACATTACGAGAATAAAGTAATAAAATTACAAGAATAATGTCATAAAATTCTGAGAAAGTCGCAAAATTCTGAGAATAAGGTCGTAAATTGCGAGAAAGTCTTAACAATTAGAGAATAAAGTTGTAAAATTACGATAATAAAGTCATAACAATACAAGTAAAAAGTCATAAAATTATGAGAAATATGTAATAAAATAATGAGAATTAAGTCATAACATTTATTTCAAGAATAGTTGTAAAACCATTAGAATAAATTCATAAAATTATGAGAACAAAGTCATACAATTATGAGAAAGTCATAACAATAAGAAAATAAAGTCGTAAAATTACGATAATAAATTCATAACAATACAAGTATAAAGTCATAAAATTATGAGAAATACGTAATAAAATAATGAGAATAAAGTTGTAACATTTCAAGAATAGTTGTAAAACTGTTAGAATAAAGTCGTAAAATTATGAGATCAAAGTCATACAATTATGAGAAAGTCGTAACATTGTAAGCATAAAGTCGTAAATTGCGAAAAAGTTGTAAATTGCGAGAAAGTCTTAATAAGAGAATAAAGTCGTAAAATTAAGATAATAAAGTCATAACAATACAAGTATAAAGTCATAAAATTATGAGAAATACGTAATAAAATAATGAGAATAAAGTTGTAACATTTCAAGAATAGTTGTAAAACTATTAGAATAAAGTCGTAAAATTATGAGAACAAAGTCATACAATTATGAGAAAGTGGTAACATTATGAGAATAAAGTCGTAAATTGCGAAAAAGTTGTAAATTGCGAGAAAATCTTAACAATAAGAGAATAAAGTCGTAAAATTACAATAATAAAGTCGTAACAAGTATAAAGTCATAAAATTATGAGAAATACGTAATAAAATAATGAGAATAAAGTCATAACATTTCAAGAATAGTTGTAAAACTATTAGAATAAAGTCGTAAAATTATGAGATCAAAGTCATAAAATTATGAGAAAGTCGTAACATTATGAAAATAAAGTCGTAAATTGCGAAAAATTTGTAAATTGCGAGAAAGTCTTAACAATAAAAGAATAAAGTCTTAAAATTACAATAATAATGTCGTAACAATACAATTACAAAGTCATAAAATTATGAGAAATACGTAATAAAATAATGAGAATAAAGTCGTAACATTTCAAGAATAGTTGTAAAACTATTAGAATAAAGTTGTAAAATTATGAAAAAGTTGTAACATTATGAGAATAAAGTCGTAAATTGCGAAAAAGTTGTAAATTGCGAGAAAGTCTTAACAATAAGGGAATAAAGTCATAAAATTACGATAATAAAGTCGTAACAATACAAGTATAGAGTCATAAAATTATGAGAAATACGTAATAAAATAATGAGAATAAAGTCGTAACATTTCAAGAATAGTTGTAAAACTATTAGAATAAAGTCGTAAAATTATGAGATCAAAGTCATAAAATTATGAGAAAGTCGTAGAATTATGAGAATAAAGTCGTAAATTGCGAAAAATTTGTAAATTGCGAGAAAGTCTTAACAATAAAAGAATAAAGTCTTAAAATGACAATAATAATGTCGTAACAATACAATTACAAAGTCATAAAATTATGAGAAATACGTAATAAAATAATGAGAATAAAGTCGTAACATTTCAAGAATAGTTGTAAAACTATTAGAATAAAGTTTTAAAATTATGAAAAAGTTGTAACATTATGAGAATAAAGTCGTAAATTGCGAAAAAGTTGTAAATTGCGAGAAAGTCTTAACAATAAGAGAATAAAGTCGTAAAATTACGATAATAAAGTCGTAACAATACAAGTATAAAGTCATAAAATTATGAAAAATACGTAATAAAATAATGAGAATAAAGTCGTAACATTTAAAGAATAGTTGTAAAACTATTAGAATAAAGTCGGAAAATTATGAGAATAAAGTCCCAACATTACAAAAATAAAGTTGTGATATTATCAGACTAAAGATACATTTTATGACAAATCTTATTAGAAACACTTTCTTCCCTAAAATGAGGAATGCAGAGCATCATGTGAAGTTATATTTTAGCATTGGTTTGACAAATCAGGAAATCTTTTAGCAGCAGCATGAAACTGGGCAGGATGTCAAAGTAGACTCTGGTTGCTGATTGGTGGAGCTGGTCGGCCGTCATCTGCTGGGCGGAGCTATAAGCTTTCTTTCTGAAACGGGTTGTTGAATGATGAATTCATTCTCTTAATATTAGGACTTTATTATCGAAATATTACCACCTCATTATTGTAATTTTACGACTTTATTCTCGTAATAAAAAAATATATATCTCTAGCCCAGCCCTAATACTCCGTTGTAGATTTCCAGCTATGAGGGAAAACATCAGATTATACACGTTATAAATCATATTCCTCATCCAATAAAGGAAAATAGGAAAGGAAAAAAGGAAATTTCCCGATAGATCTCAAATATAAAAAGAAAATCCAGCATAAAAATAAATCATTTCTCTTTTCTCCCTCATTTCTCAGCAGTAAACAGTGAAACAAAGTATGGATAAATCGACAAAATTTTTATCCACTAGTTTAGGCAGTTTAAAGTTAATGTATATTTAAAGTACTGAAATGTTTCCTTTGTAGAAATCTAACAATAAAAATAACATTGATAATGTAAATGAGTGCATCTTGATAGCAGTTTTAAAGCTTGCATATTTTTATGCAAGCTTTAAAACAATAACACAAATCTAATCTAATCTAGTTTTCCTGTGATTTAAAATCCTTTTACACTTGAGTTGGAATCAGTTCCAGTATTGTCTTATTATTATAAAATGCTAAATTCTGCTAAATGTAAGATAAATTTGGTTTTCACACAGGTCATTGTATAAAAGAGTTTTTCCAGAACATCCAGTATCTGTGGGAATAAACCAGTCTATGCAGGTTTCTCCTACAACCTGCGTTACTTTAAGGCACTGCTCCTAATTTGAAAACTAATTTAAAACCCTTTTTTGACCATAATGCAGCAATAAATTAACAATAAAAAGTGTAGAACAGAAAACCTCGCAAAACTGAAATTATATCCTACTACATTTTCAAATTTTTCCATTATTTCTGCAAACTAATGTACTTAAATGCAGGTGTTTAGTGGAAAGGTGAAATATATCTTCAAGTAATGTAATTTTCCATTGTAATGTAGCGTTATTACTAAAGGAAAACCTGAAGCACACAAGTATTGCCTGTTTAACTTTTCTTTAAAGCTTTCCTCTCATTCATTTAATGGTTTCCAAATAGTTTCCGACCTTTGATTAATCTGTCGAGTAAAAGCCTCAGAGTTAAAACTGCCAATAAAGCAAACATTGATACATGCTTTTAGCTGGTTTCCTTTTGTTTTGCTTTGGTTCTTTTATTTCCTCTTAGTTCAGACGAAGCTGCGCGCGCATCTCCATTATTTACAACCCGAAGCTTAGCATCGCTGAAAGCAGCGTCTGCTAACTGCTAACATATCGACTAACTAAAATGAAAAAACCATTACAGATATATCAGCACAATTTCAACTGGTAACCGTTCATGTTCCGACAGCTACTATATACAACAGAAGGGTCTTTTTTTATATATCTGTATATAAATAAGAATATACTTTACATTTTGTTATGCTAGCTGGAAACCATCAAGCAGAATCAGGAAGTATTCCGTCTTTCTGATTGGTCAAAACCCCAACTCCTACCCGCCTTTAAATGAAACTGACCAATCACAGAACAGAGACGATTGTTTAAAAAGTCATTTGGGAAGGGGGAAGGGACATCAGTTATTAAGAGTAAAGAAATGGAAAAATGGCAAAAAAGGTGGAATGAAGTTTAAAACAGAATTATATAAAGTACAAAAGTCAGTATATAATAGAAATATGAATAAGAGAAACAGAAGGGAAGAAGTAATAATAATCAGATTAAGAGTGGGTTATACATATTTAATGACAATTTATATTTAATACGGAGGAGAAATTGTGAACAATTTGAGGAATGTGGAGAAAAATCCAATTTAGAAAACATTCTAATGAACTGTAAAACGTAACAAAATGAAAAGGAAAAAACTGAGAAGAATGGTTGGAAGGAAAGGCCATTAATGCAGTCTGAAAGGAATGTTGGGAAATAAAGGAAATATAAACGATATTAACGGATTATGGAAAGCATTATTTTTTATATATAGAATACAAAACAAAAAAAACAAAAAACAATTTGATCAAAGTAGAGTAATGTTGCTACACGCTCATGTACAGTAGGTGGCGGTATGCAGCTTAAAGTTGCTCGCGATCCGCCATAACAGAACAGAAGAAGAAGAAGGTTGGGTTGCGCTGGAAACAAGGTGGGTTTATTTTAAAACTGTTTTAACTGCTTTAAAATCTGCTATTATTGACAGTAGAACCGAACCGTACAGCTACTGATTTATTCTCCACTTTGCATGATTAAAGTTAGCAGAGTTTTTATTGCCGTTAAAGAGCGTGTTTATAGAGAGGAGGGTCCCATGGCTAACAGTGCAGCATGCTAACTGTTCTGCTACTGTTAGCATTTCCACACACATAACTCTGTATTTGCTGAATTTATTCTATTAATTTATAGATTTTACTCATATTTCCATCTTTTATTTAATTGAATGAGTCAATGAGGGTAAACCGAAGAATATAGTTAGATTGTTGGGGGAAAAGAAAATGATTTCTTTGGTTTTTGTTTCTAGATATTTCTGCATATGGGGCCTTTGATTAGTAAATATGAGACTTTAAAGTCATAGGGAAATCATATTTAAATGTTAAGTCATTCTGGCTTAAACATGTATATAAAGGGGCTCTTTATCAGATGATATTGTTGCAAAATGTAGAAAATTTCTATTTAAAAAAAAATCCTGTCTCAATTTTTTTTTCCGTTATCTTCTGCAGACCAGTTAGTTCTACGTCAGCCTGAACACCTAAATTCGGCCAATCATATATCAACGGTCATCTGTCAATCAAATGTTTTCAGTCATAGCATCTTGATTCATGTGTCGCAGCTAATATACGCAACGGTTGAAACCAGAATCCTTTCCTTTCCCATTGAGTTGCGTCCCAGTGTTCACGGGGATGGACGTCTGTGTCTTCGGCAGGCGTAGAGCTAACAGAACTGGCAGCGTTGCGAGGCAAGGGCTCAAACATGGACGGCTGGAAGCCTTCTACACCAAACCAAGCTTCTGCCGCCCTGGCGTCCTCTTCCACAACATCTTCGTCCCCGCTTTCCTCCTCTAAATAAAAAATGGATGACGGAGGAGACTCATCCACGACCTCCGACACTAAACTCTCCTCCTCTTGCATGTTTCCTCTGTCCATAGCGTTTCTTGACAGCGTCGTTTCTAAGTCACCAATTTAGTGCTACTTGGTCCCAATGGAATTTCCCATTGGGAACCTGCTAGCGCTAAGTTGCTAACTGGTTAGCAAGATGCTTCTGAACCAAACCTGCTTGCGAACCTTCTGCCACAACAATCCCGCCCCCTTGATAATCGACCAATCACATTCACTTTATTCACTCGTGTAAAGTCGGGCACCACTCGGGAGAATTCGGAAACGCAACGGTTGGAATGGCCGCTTCCCTACTTTTTATGAAACATGGTTTTTCTTCTGATTTTTTGTGTTTTATTTCTATAAGACATGTGCACCATTCCAGTTTTTGCTTCTTTTCTTGTTGATTTCACTCCTCTTCAAGAATCGTGTTGAACCTTTGTATGTCCTTTAATCTAATAGATAAACCATTGTCCATTCCTGAGGACCAATGAGCAGAGGTGCATGCAGTACAGTGTATACTTTTTGATAGTTTAAATTAAATGCAGCGAAACACGAGTAGCAACTAAAGATTAATAAATGTCAAAATTTGCTTTTTAACAGTGGTGATTAGTGATGGCTTACTGAGGCATCTTGAAGAGTTTGGACACATTGCCAAACTTTATTGATGCTGCATTGATACTGTCTCAAAGAATACTGACACCTGCTGGACATTCAATTCTATTCAGTTTATTTCTATAGCTCCAATTCACATCATGTCATCTCAGGTCACTTTATAGATCCAGATCAACCAGATCATCCAGTCAGATTGATTCAAAGTTTTCTATCTAAGGAAAACCAGCTGATTGCATCGACTCATTGACTCTTCAGCAATCCCTCACACTAAGCATGCTTGTAGCGACAGTGGAGAGGAAAAACTCCCTTTGAACAGGAAGAAACCTCCAGCAGAATCAGGCTCAGTGTGAGCGGCCATCTGCTGAGGCCCACTGGGGTTCAAGGAGACAGAAGCAGACATAGAAAAAGAAGCATAGATACAAAAGGCAACTGTCAACCAGCTCCACAGGCGGCCCCGTCCAGGAAACACACAGCCAGGCAGACGAGCTCCGAGCCAGCTCCCATGTCAGAGGATGAAGAGAGCACATCCAGTTAGTCACAGTCAGAGAAACAGGACTACACTGGAAAACAGGCCAAGCTCAAATAGAGCATAGTGTTAGAGATTGAACTAATAGATTCTGCAGAGTGGGAGAATAGAGATAGAATGAAGCAGAATGATGAAAAAGGGGTCCCTATGTCCTCCAGCAGTCTAAGCCTATAGCAGCAGAACTATAGAGATAGATCAGGATAACCTGAGCCACTCTAACTAGAAGCTTTATCAAAAAGGAAAGTTTTAAGCCTGCACCTAAACAGTTGGAAACCCCTAATGGAAATTTAGTTAAAATTCTGAAGCGTGAGCCTTTCTGCTTGTTGGAAGTTGCTTCTCTTAAAGGGAAAAAGATTTTCACAGGTCTTAAGAAATTCTATTTACATTGATGTTGTTTTGAGGCCTTTGAATGACGTTTGCGTTTGTCTGTGTTTCTTTAACAGAACATCATGGAGGAAGGACGGGATTTTTCTCTCCATGGAAAAGCAGTTGTGAAAGATGCTAATCTGAGTAAGACTGGACCTTTTTACTGTAGACGTCTGCACCGGTTGTCCTGTTAGCAACATCAAACTCAAGCCTCTTTTTAGTTTTTTTTTCTTACCAAGTTTCTAAACCTTCTTGTAATCCTGCAAAGCAGAGGTGTTGACCTCATTCTATATCGGGCCGCCTAGGTGTCGTCAATTCTTTAAAGGAAAAGTTCAGTCGGCAGGAATAATAAATGGATCATTATTTATACCTAAAACTAATACGTTTGCAGTGATTTAATGAATTTAGCGTTAATCAGTAAAAAAAACCCATTAATTTTCATCACAATCACTGAGTCTGGGAGCGGCCATTTTTGCCCAAATATAGTAGCCCCTCCCTCCTGCCATCTTCCAGCAGTGACGTCACGGTGCGGTAAGCCTAGCGCCATTCTCCCCGCTTTCCAAGCTAAATCAATGGGAACTACTAGACACATCTAGCCTGACGTAGTCCTACTCAATTCTAGTCAGAATGAGTCTGATGCTGCTCCATAGAGCTGTGATTATGGGGCGTGTTTTGAACGGACCAGGAAAAAAAATGCCTCTGCACTCAATTGGATAGACCTACAACCAATAAGAGCAACGGAGTGCGTGACGTTATGTTCAGCGACGCATAGTTGTTGTCAACAAAAATCAAAGCGTGCAGTTTCACGCCTAGAATAAGAAGATGAGCCTTGATCGCGTTTCTCTGTTCCTCTTTTAAAATTAATTTGCTGTCGATATCTTCTAGAACAGACCTAATAGCAGAATCTACTCACCTAAACTGTCCAGCGGCAGCCATTGTTGTTGCTGCCCAAGCGCGCTTTGGTGACGTGGTTGATTACATTACTGTTGATCATCTGTCCATCATCGTTTAAAGCCCGCCCCAACAATTTGATTGGCCCGCCAGATATTGTGCGAGCATAGTCGCGCTACTATTGAACAATGCCAGACCGAACTTCCCAACCTCAAACGTTGTGGGCGGGACTAAGTTCGGAATGGCACCCAGGCTAGAGACACATCTGCAATCAACAACAATTATTGAAGATTTCCAGAGGACTTCACCATTGAAATTCACCAGAGCTATAGTGAAACTGACAATGCCCACGTGCATGGCAGCTGGATGCTGGAATACATCGGGTAAAAGTGGAAAAAAGAGTTATTCCACCTTTCTGATTCATGCTAAGAAACCAGGTCATTTGTGCGTGTCACAGTTAACGCAGACCCTAACCGACACACGGACCCCCAGAAATCCTAGCTAGTTCCTGATTGTCCCTCTCGCGTTGTGGCGTGGAATAACGTTGCGCAGCCCATGCTTCAATGTTGGGAATAAATAAAAAATATCTGCATCATACCTGCGATAAGCTAACTGCAACACACTGCTGCGGGAGGATAACCAGCCCTTAAACTTGGCAATGTTCTCAATTTTTGTGCTTCTTTAAAAAAATTCCCAGCAGGTAAAGATCAATCTATTTTATATTTTTTTAGAGAAATCGAATATTTTAGTTTCTGGACATTTCCTTCTTTTTTTTTTCCTTTTTCTATGTCAACTCGGATGCAAACAAAGGCACAGGGTGGTTTTGGATGTAAATAGTCAAACTCAATAGAACTTAAACATTAACGTCTCCTTCCTGCTGTGACCTGAAGGCCTTGTTGACTCAAACACTCCTGTTACTCTTATCTTACTTTTTTTGCACAGCAAATATGCAACAATTAAAATCAATAGACGTATTAATAATGCAGGGCAGCATGGTGGGAAAACACAGCAGTAAATATTCAGGAAGCACATCGCTCCTCCAGGAAACAGAACGTTCAAAACTGTTACCCAAAGACTGCCATCATGGTTTAAAAAATCACTTTATTAGCGCATTTAGGAGTATATTAATATATATGGATATTACCATCTACTAGTGATGGTGAGGTGAAGCCTCATTGAACAGTTTGGGCAAATTTCTTCAACGATCCCCACAGTTTATGAAGCTTCATGTGAATATGTCTCCACCTACTGGTAGAGTGCAGAACTACAGTTAGTAATAGAATCTGTGATTTGTGTTTTTTTTGCAATTGTTTTTTCCCCCACATAAGTTGCTTTGATATTGTTAATGATTGGTCTGTATAATGAAACTTTTTGGGGTGTAAAATGTCTTCAAGCGAACAATCATTTAAGGTACACTGTTTATCTGCCATTTTAGTGAAATAAGCACAAGCAGACATTGAAAAAGTTTGTGTAAATTGGGCAATGATGAGCAAAATGAAAGGTGTTAGTCGTTTCTATTTAAACATAATAGTTTTTCCACCGTTTTTACTTTTAATCGGGTTGGAAGTTATGTGTTCAAGCAATCATTTGGTCAAACCAACCAATCTAATTTGGCAGAATTTTTACCCAATCTGTATTTGTACTAGGACAAACCAAAACAAATTAGTCATGTTGTCACTCGTTAAGTATTATCGCAACTTTCAAAAGTCTAAGGTGGGTCTCAAATCAACAACCTAAGGAACGACGGACAATGTCTTACAGCTGATGCCACCAACATTGGTAACTATCGCTAACAGACAGCAATGCTACTTAACAATAACGTTACAACTCTAGCCACTCGTTCACATATTGATCAATATATTGTTTAACCAAAATAGTTTTAACCAACTAGATTGGTTGAGAAACACTACCAATCTATTCTTAAACTCTATCCAACTGACAGCAACTCTCCTACAATCTCCTACATCCTGACTGAACACTGCGGCTGTTTAGATGCCTGTCGAAGTTCTTGCGCGGTCTGAAGCACTTCCTAAAGCGGTCGCGCGGTATTACAGTAGCTAGGCTTCGGGCGTCAACAGTTTTGGCCCCTCCCCTAAATGAATCAGACCTTGGCGTGCTCTGGGGAAACGCCCCCACCATTACTCGACACACGCCTCGAAGCCTCGGCTCATCTCATGACATGGCTGTTAACGGCACACATTAGATCAATTACTGGGCTGCAATTATTAAAGAAACGGAAAAGTGAAAAAGCTTTTAACAGTTTAAAAATCTGACTTCTATTCTGCTATCAGGCCTTTTAAATGGGTTAAATGTTTTTTTTTCAACATTTTTCAAATGTTTTTTTTGGCCGATATCCGATATGCCGATATTTTAAAACTCATGTAGCCGATAACCGATATCGATACCGATGTTAAAGCTGGACAAAAATAAGTAGTCATTGAAAATAGCAGTTTTGTTATCCATTTCTGACACTTTGAAAAATAATATACTCAAAAATATTTTCATATGCTGATATCAAATTGATTTTTAAAAACGCTGTATCGATCTATTTTACTTTCAAAATCTGGTGAAATTTCATCGTTCTGTTACAAACTCTCGTGATATTTTGCAAATTCTTGTGAGATTTTGTTAGTAAAATAGATCGATACCGCGTCAATATATCAACATATAAAAATATGGCAACATTTTGTGAATTTTCGGGGGATTTCGTAGCATAACAATGACATATAGCAATATTTCATTGGTAAAAGAGATTGATATGGTGTTTTTAAATTGCAATATATCAACATATGAAGATATTGGGATATTTTAATGGATCAATATTTTTTCCCTCGTCTTTAGAAGTTTTTAAGTCTGTAAAAAAGAAGTTTTTGAGGAAGAAGAAGAAGTAGTATTTTATTATTTTGTTTTTTAGAATTTAGAAACTCAGAAGCTGATTAAATATCGGTGGGGTGGCCGATGTCCGATATTCAGTTTTAAGGCCGATACAGGCAGATACCGATAGGGGGCGATTATATCGTGCATCCCTAGACTCCACCCTTTCTCTGAGTTACAGGGTCTGACCAAGAGAAGGCGCTTCTCTTTAGATCTTAATGTCCACAAATCATCACAGAAATAATATTTTGGTACAAAGATTGATGTTTCTAGGGGACCAGCTGATGACCAATCAAGGAAAGGGGTTAGTTGGTGTCATGGTGTGTACCACACTCTACATGAACCAGATGAAGAGGCTTCATAAATTTCTGATGAAACAAATGTTAATCTAATAAATCAATTTCTTTACATTCCTACTAGCAACATGGAAAAGATTCAAAGATTTTAATGATTGCAATTGGATGTTTTGTGCAGCTTTATCCACGTTTTATTTCTGTTTTATCATCAGAAATTAATTTAATTTTTTCTCTCCAACTCTTCTGATTCCAGGGGATGAGTACTACTGGAAGCTTGTTGCAGACTTTATTGGACCTCAATCAGGCGAGGAGCTTAACCTGAATCAAGGACCGTGCAAGAACAGATTTATGATCCAAGTTGGGCTTTTGAGGGAGGACAATAATTTTCCCTGGCTCGCCATCATAGAGTGGCTGAAGAAGATCTTCCCTGGTCACCAGTCCGCTGACTTCCGGTGTTTGATTGAGAGAGGCATTGCAACAACACTGAGCTTGGGCACTGAAGCGGTGTTTACCTTCCTGGAATCGGATGTCAACTTCAGCTTTGTTGGCCCAATATGTGACAGCATCGGGGTGGAGCGCCAGCATCTTCTTGAACTGAGGGATTTCTCAGAGCGAGCGCGGTCAATTGAAGTCACTAATGGACTGATTATAGAACTGAGCAACTTTGTTGCCAGGGAGAAAATTTCTCCAGTCGTCATCGTTACTTGGCTAAGGAACTTCAACCCAGAGTATTGTAAGGACGGGTGCATTCAGAAAGCGTATAAACTCCTAAGGGCCAGGATAAAGAAATTAAAAATTTACTGTCGTAACTATGAGACGAGGAGTCACAGGAAAAATGCTGCCATTGAGAAAGTTCTTCAGAGTCCGTTTGAACTGGTTCGCAAGAAATCACCAAAACTGTTTTTGAAGAAACGCATGAGGAAAATCTATTATGAGAAGGTTATGGTCAAAGAGAAAGAATTTTCAGAAATCTCACAAGGCGAAGCCCTTGAGGTACGCAAGGAGGTTGTAGGAAAAAAAACACAGAGAGGAAATGCTAACAAAACAGGCGAGGAGGATCGAAATGCATCGAACAGCAAAGAGAAGAGCCCAGCCGACTACGGAGAATCCCTGACCCTGCTGGACATCGCCATGCTGTCCGTCCAGAAGTTGTTGAGTGTTTACGGTGGAAAAAACGAAACGTGCAACAGGGTTTCTTTGGATCTCCTCAAGAATCACTATGCTCTGACTTGCAAAGAGACTCCCGCCATGGAGGAGTTTGAAAACAAAGTGAGCTCCTTCTGTGAAGAGACTGCCCTCGTGCCTCCCGTGAAATTTTTACACTACAATGCCAATTTCCTAGTTGATCTACACAATGCTGTGGAGAAACAGATCCTGAGCTTTGAAAAGGAGATCATTTTGTCAACGGGACAGAAACTGGGCCGAGATAATCTTCCAAAGTTCAAGAACTTTGTTAATTTGCCAGAAAGTGCCACTTCGCGTTACATCCACATGGCCTGTGATCTCCTGAGCCCAATCAGTCCAGAAAAACCGAACTACAGGAAGCATTGGGTGGCTTTCTGTGAAGAGAAGGGAAACCCCTCCAGACTCACTGTGAACCAGTCAAACAGACTGAATAACTACTTTGAGGCAGCAGCAGGTCTTATCCACCATCACAAAGAGGCTGCGCTATTCTTTGGCGATCTCTTGTCACTTACTAGCGACCCATGTCCCAACATCATCTTGGAGAGCATTACAGCAGATGCAAACGACTCCACAATCCAGAGTTTTGTTTGTGTCGTGGCTATAATTTACTGCAAGGTCCTCGGCCCCTACTGGCAGCTCCTGAAGAGCGGAGGGGAGTATGCGCTCTTCAATCAGTTCCTGCTCTGTCTCTACCAAAGGTTCATTGATTGGTCGAAAGATCCCTCAACTCTGCTCGAACCAGAGGAGGACAGCAACGTCTTCCGGCAGTTTCCTTTGCAAGAGAAAATCTTTAGCGGGGTGTTTAACTTCTGCGCCCATTGGCACACAAACCGAGACCTCATCCGGACTTGTCTGAGGAGAACCATAAAGGTGATCGCTGCCGTCACTGAGGAACACCTGAAGACCTTTCTGCCTGGAGGATCGTTTTCCCAAATTCCTCCGTTAGATGTGTGCTTGCAATTAGTCAGTTGCACGTTTTCCGTCTTAATGGCGGAATACCCCTTCGGCCATGCATATCCCTACAAGAAGAAACGACCTGACAAGCAGTCCAACAATTCCTCTCAGAGCTTGTTGGACAGCTCCCAGGAAGATGAAGCTTTTTCCGGCAACAGCTCTGATGAAGCCTCGAAGAGTGGAACCCACTTCCAGATCGGCCAAAGGGACGAGAAGAGTCCTCAGACGAAAAAGGCTACCAGGGTTTTCCAGGAAGAGGAGCAGGAGGAGAACATGGATAAGGACTACATTATCGCCGTGGTGACTAAAAATGGAGGTCCGTGCAAAACCCAGCAGGACATTGATAAATTGATGCTGCGTCTTGACGGGAAGTCACGGCAGGAGAAACGGGAGGCAGTTCGCTGCGAGATTCTGTACCAAAAAATGGTTCTAAACAACATGGACCCAAATTTGGACCATCGCTGCCTCAACACAACCCAGATGGTGTTGAAGCTGAAGCTGTCTCTCCCCCGGGTCAAACCCGGTTTCTCTTTGGTGCTGGCACCCAGGAAGACCAAACAAAGACGTTTACACCAACCTGCTCCAGATAATCCAGCTGCTCAAGGTGCCAACAGCGTCTTGTTGGCGTCCGGCATAGAAAATTCACACACTTCCCCGGTGGATGTAGAGATGACAAACTTAGCAGAAACACTATAAAAGACGTCGGACCCATGACTCAAACACGTACCAATGTCCTGTGATGTACATGTGATCTTTCTGAACAATAACAGGAACTTTTGCTTTGTTTTCGGTGCCTCACCATGGTTAGCATGGAGCCACTCTCCAGGCACCTCAGGAAAGGAAACGTCTACATCTGGGACAGCGACCCTACATTGGGTTCAAACTTGTCCTTAATGTAAAAATAAACATTTTTTGGTCCATTTCTTCTGACTTTTTTCATTATATTACAACACCAAATCCCAATTCTTTTAAAATCAAGGCACCACGGTTTAAGTATTAACTCAATCTGAGCTATATTCAGAGCAATATGTAGCGCTTGGTGCGTATTGATTCTTTGTTTCTTCTAGTAATTTGACGGTTACATCATTGCTTTATGGTACTTTGGGTTATGGCTAAAACACCAGAGCTAACTAAGCTAGCAGTTGTTCTTGAACCAATCTGATCTGAACCTTACCCTAACAAACATACTTCTGGCTCTCTGATGTATGCTGGTGAAGATATTCAGTCATCCAGATCAAAGTCATTCAAAAAAAGTTACAAAACAATTCACTGGACTTGGTTTGAAAGTTTGAAGATGTTTCGGTTCTCATCCAGGAAGCTTTTTCAATTCAATATGTCAGAATAAGCGTTGAGTTCAAAGCTCGATTCTTGCTTTGCCTTAGGAAACATGCAAATTAAACCAGGAGAATGGGGGTCAGGATTGGGGAGCCATTTTGGGTTCTTTGTTAGACTGCAATTACCAATCCTGGGCTATGCCTTTGAAAGGGGGGTCGTTAGGGGCATTTGTTGGCTTGGCTGCCCAGGTAGGATGTCCCCTGTATAGGGTCGGGGGGGATTGAAATGATAGCGAGAAGGGATCAAGTCAATCGCTGCATTGTAGGTTTTTGAAAGCTGGAATGTTGACTCCACCCCCTCTGTTTAAGATTGGTTTTTCTTTCTTAACATAGATGCCCCCCCACCGATTGTGTACATTCTGGTTAAATGGGTGTCTCTTGTCCTTAAGGTCCAAGTGGACAGCAGAGTCTTGTCCAGAGGAGGGCGCTCATGGTTGTTGGTCCATGTGTCTGTGGAGAGGTTGTTTGGTTTCTCCAATATAAAGATCAGATCATTCCTCGCTGCATTGAACTGCTGTTTAAGGGTCTGTTTGGTTTGAAATGATCTAGGATTTTGTGTTTGGAGAAAATCGTCTTTAGTTTCTCAGAGACTCCAGTAACATATGGGATGGAGATGTTTATGTGTTTGATCTTCTCACCGTTATGTTCTGCTGCGTTTCTTCTGGATTTCCTTGTTTATTTGACAAAAGCCCAGTTTGGTTCTCCACAGGTTAGGAAAGCTTCTTCCATGCTCACTAAACAGTCCAGGAAACGTAGCTTGTTGTCGTTGGCATCCTCTCTGCTGATGTGTCTGTGTCTGTGAAAGCTTCAACTTCTTTTAGCTGGATTCTGACAAATGTGTCATCCACATATCTAAACCAGTGACTTGGTGTTCCTCTGAAGGTGTCTTCTTCTTATGAGGTTTTATCACGGTGGTAAACCTGTGAAATTTGTGCATTACCGCCACCAACTGGTATGGAGTAAAGCAAGGAAACAGGAAATGATTCACCCCAGGAAAAAAAAAAAAAAAAACCTGTGTAACTTAATCCGACATAATACTAAATCACATTTGCCCTTATAATTTTAATTTACTCTAAGTAATTGTCACTCTGCCAGTTTCTGATGGTCCTATGGGTCCTCCCATCATGCTTCCAATCATCTCCCAGTTCAAATCTTTTACGTCCAGATATTTTTCTGCAGCCTTCACTATTATTTTGATTTTTTCGGGGGTTTTTTGTCGTCTGCGCCGTACAATTAATCACTTCCACCATGAATAGAACAAAATTTCTCTTTTTAACAATTAGTGAGTCTTCTTCAATTTTTGGACATTTCTCTAGAGGTTTGGAATTTGCCGTGTGTTGAACTGTAGGTTTGGGTTTTTCTAACTGAGATGGGATCCTTTTTGCAGCTTCAGCGTAGGATATTCCGAGCTCAAATTTCATTTTTTTTATTTCCTTAGACCTTTTGCTCACTTCACAGCCGCGATAAGCAGCAGCATGTTCTCCACCACAGTTACAGCATTTTATTTTAGCTTCTTTTCCACATTTTCCGTACTCATGCTCTCCTGCAGTCCTTCCACATCTCTGTTTCCCTTCACAAACTGCTGCTATGTGTCCGAATTTTTGGCATTTAAAGCATCTCAATGGTGGAGGATTGTAGATTTTGACATTATAACTGATGTAACCAATGAATACTTTGCTGGGTAATTGCTCTTCCTCGAGTTTAATTAGCACCGATAAACTGTCAGGTCTTTCTCCGTTTCTTGTTGTTTTTAACCGTTTTACTTCTTTTACTTTTGCACCGCTTATGTTTTCCAGAATCTCTTTTACAGAAACTCTTAGAGGAACTCCTCCAATGACTCCCCTGCTGATCTTTTTGTTCTCCATTAAGCTGCACTGAACTCTTATCCCGTCAGTGTTGTTGATCTGTATTGCTTTGCCCTGCTGGGCGCTGTCTCTGCAGTTAATTAGCAGGTCTCCACAGCACAGGATTCTGGCACCTCTGACTTCTCCAACAAGTTTATGTTTTTTGTTAAGTGAACCGGATTCCAATTTGTAAAAAGAGTCTGCCTGATTAACGACTTTGAATATGACTTTATATTCATGTTGTTATGCTGTGGAATGTATGGATAGATCATCTCTGGATTGTTCTGAACTGGACTCCCCTTTAACTGATCTCTGTTTTTTTCCGCTTTTTCTCATTGCTATCTTCCAACCTTCTTGTCACTATTTGCCTCTTCCATCCCACAAGAATCACTTCCTGTTTCCTCACTACTCACGGCCCAGGACATTTCTCCACAAGCGGCTTCAAAACACGCGCCATGCCCCAAACGACCATCCCCTCTGAAGGTGTCCAAAGCTCTTTTTCCCATTTCTTTCAGTCATATCCTGGTTGAAAACCTAGTTTTGTCAAAGGTCCTAATTTTGTTTTATTGACAATATATTTTTACAGTCATGAAAAAGTAATGTTTATGAATAGCTGTAAATTTGTCTGTTGAAAAAAAACTGTAAAGAGTTATACCACCAAATCGTGTTGTGTTTGCTTTGACATATATAAATTGGTCCATATGCAGCTGTGGACATTTTTACAGTGTTTTAAAGTGTTTTTAGATGAGGGAGAGAGAGAGGACGATTCCTCTGTGAATTATTGCCTCTTTATGTTCTGAACTTAGCTCTGATATTTTGTCCTAATCTCTGTGAGATAAAGAAGCAGTTAGAAAAACAAATGAGGCCTTCACTGTCAGCAGAATGCAGGAAACTGCAGTACTTGTATGTAATAGTCTCCTGGTTGTGCTTCAAAGTACAATAAAGATAAATGATTAACAAAATAACGTTTGAAGAATATCAAATTTCTACCTTTGAGCTAATTGGGATGTAATTTTGAGTTTAAACAGAACAGCATGGAGAATGGCAGCTGGACATTGGCATATTAGGGCCAGGCTAGTAATTCTCCTAATTTTATGACCTCATTCTCGTAATTTTTCAACTTTATTCTCATAATTTTTACTCTTCTCCCTAATTTTATGACTTTATTCTAGTAATTATATGACTTTATTCTTGAATAGAAAAATAAATCTCTAGCCTTGCCCTAATACTCCGTTGTACTGATCAAATTAAATCCACCGTATTTGGATTAAAGAAGCTAAAAAAAAAAAAGCACAGAATTCGTTATCGACATAAACAGAGGTCCTTTTACCAAAATATAAAATAAAACCTTTTTCCACTCCGGTAAAGAAAACGAGCGTCCCTGAACGCATCTGAAGGGGCGGGAACTTTTCATAACAGGCGTCCATTGCAGACCAGCAGCGGCGGCGGTGTGTTGAAGAGGCCGCCGGTTCATCCGTAGATCCGGGGCTTTTCTGAGCGGAACCATGGCGGGCAGCTGGTGGGACGGTGCCGCGGTGACCCACGGACTGATGGCCATGTTCGCGATGGGCTCCTGGGTTTCCGTCAACAGTCTGTGGGTGGAGCTGCCGGTGGTTGTGAGGGAGCTTCCCGAAGGTCAGTCCTCATCTCCCCGGAGGAGAAGGTCCTGTTCTGCTCACCGATTTACCAGAACCGAACCGAACCGCAGCAGCTTTAAGGGATCATTTAGAATTTACTTAAGTTCCATAAAATCTGACCTCAGATCCGCTCATAAAGTGACCCCCCCCCAAGTTAAAGCTCTACTTACTCATTGTTGTCCAATCTGGATCTTTTGACCTTTTTATAATCCAATAACATCATATTAATAAATAACCGGTTTAAATCCTCATTTCTTATTTTTGTCAACAGTCAGGCGGTAGATAAAGTTTTCCTGTCTTTGAACTTTGACCTTTTTTCTCTCCATTCAGCTCCTTTTAGTTGAAACTTTATGGGATCAGATAACTAAAAACAATCAATAACATTTGCTGAGCTGCCTAAATTCAAAGCTGCAGGTCAAAATAAGTTATGAAGTTTATTAAATTTATTTGTTCCTTTTTTCAGACAGGGGCGGATTTAGGAAATTTGGGGCCCTAGGCAAAGACAGGCAGGGGCCCCTCATCAGCGTTCTGGTGACATTTTAGCGAAAGGATTTTTTATCAAAAACATAATTATGAGCACAAATAAGGAATAAGGGGCCCCAGGAAATTGAGGCCCTAGGCAGCTGCCTAGTTTTGCCTAATGGTAAATCCCCCCCGATGTCAGGTAATACATGTGACATCATCTGTAGGAATATCTCTGATAAAGCTGTTACACTCCTTGCCATTCGGTGGCAGTAACGCACCTAAAGGCTGTCCTCCTGCTGCCATAAATAATAAGTAGAGAGAAACAAAATCTTTGGTCGTGTATTACATCGCTCCTAAAATGGTTCTTCTTCCTGTTCTTCTCTGGTTGGTGGAAATGCACTGCTCAAAAAATAAAGAGAACGCTTGCATAACTGATAAACCAGACTAAATGTGAGATTAAATGTGGAATTTAGTCTGGCCCAGATGAATGAGACATCGGAAGATCGTTCATGAGAACTCGTTGTTTTTCAAACCATGTCTGTTCCTATTGGCCAACGCTCTGACCCATGAGAGCAACTGACTGTGACGTAGGAAGCGCAACAGGAAGCTGGTGGGGGAGTGGAAACAGCCTGTCAGTAAAACGGCGAATACGTCCTCCTTAAAAATGAATGAGCGTAGATCCTCTTCCTGCTTACGTTTCAATGAAAACCCAAAGTCTAATCCTTCCAGAACTGATTCCAAAGCTGAGTCAAAAATCGCCATCAGAGCCAGCGCTCCTTCACACACGGCTATGCAGAGAGAGAGCCGCTGCAGACGGGCTAACGTTAGCCTCGGAGGTCCGCTGGTTGCCGCGGTCCTCTCAAGTGCGGATATAGTTTTTTAAACTACGCTTTAAATCCGTAAATGCACCATAGTGACGCTTTAAAGTATAATATTCTCACCTCAAATTATCTTAAAATGTACTTTTATTGAACAACAGAACGAGAACTTTTAACTTTCAATGGAGTGCTCCATTGAAAGGTGCCGCAGTGAATGCTACTGTTGTGTATTCTCCAGCGTCACGCCCTCAAAGCCCCGCCCACTTTGCATCCGAAAATTCAAAACAATTCTCTGCGTTGTGATTGGCCCGCCAGTTCTAGGGCCTGGGGCATTGATCGAGGCTAGACCACTGAAGGCAAAAATGATTCTGGCCGCTAGCAGGTGGGGGCTAGTTTACTAGGCTAATAACATCACAGACCTGAACGAATGAAATGTTTTCATTGAATTCTTTCTTCTTTACAAAGTTGAATGTGCTAACGACAAAATCATACAAAGATTATCAAGGACTGAGCGTCTCTGATGGCAAAATAATATTTGAAGGCAGGAATTCTGTAAAAATTCAGAATTCTTTCTCAGAATTCTGACTTTAATCTCAGGATTCTGTGCCTCAGGGTCGTCTGTCGGACGCTTTGCGTCTCCGTTTCCGCCTGCTAACTCTGTTTTCCTGTTCCAGGCTGGAACCTGCCTGCGTACCTGTCGGTGCTCATCGCCTTCGGGAACCTGGGTCCGATCGCAGTGACGGTGACGCACCACTGCGCCCCGGGTCGCCTTAACGAGCGCCTCGCCATTCACTGCATCCAGGCGCTGGCGGTGGCGGCGTCCGTGTTCTTGGCCATTTTCTGGTCCCACACCGTGACGATAGCGGGAGTGGAGAGGTCCCTCCCCTTCCTCATCCTCACCTTCGTCCTGGCGTTGGTCTGCTGCACTTCTACCGTCACCTTCCTGCCCTTCATGTTCCGCTACCCTCCTCAGTACATCCGGACGTTCTTCATCGGGCAGGGCTTCAGCGCCTTGTTCCCCTGCATCATGGCGCTGGGGCAGGGGGTCAGCAAGCTGGAGTGCAAAACCGAGAACGGCACCGTGAAGCCGGAGTATTTGGAGGAGAACTTCCCGGCCCAGAACTTTTTCTGGTTCCTGTTTGTGATGCTGACCATCTCGGCGTTGAGCTTCGCGGCTTTAACGCGGAGACAGACTGAACCCCTGCAGGAGGCGGCGCCCAAAGAGTCCGGCGGCACAGACGCCGCAAAGGACGGAGAGGAGACGCACCGGCTGTACAACGGAGGAACGCCTGTGTCTGAAGAGCAGGTCCGAGTCGAGGAGGCGCCGACTTTTTGGACGTCGAGTAACATTTATCTGCTGGTGCTGCTCGCCGTCTCCAACGCCCTGACCAACGGAGTCCTCCCGTCCGTCCAGAGCTTCACCTGTCTGCCCTACAACAACATGACCTTCCACCTCTCTGTGGTCCTGGGCAACATCGCCAACCCTCTGGCTTGTTTCCTCGCCATGTTCTTCGTGCTCAGGTGAGAATCAGGAGACGGAGAGACGCTCATCTGATCGGTCAGATGATCCTTTAGCTTTTTTTCTTCTCGCCTCCATGAGTCCAAACATCCAGAAGCTGAGAAAAAGATGTGGAACGCAGACATTCTAACAGAAACTCAGATATATTGGAGATCTCAAACTCAAATCTCTAAAATGAGCTTGTTAGCAGAGCTAGCCTGCTGCTAGCGAGGCGATTTAGCCGCTCGATTGAGATGTTTAGGGTAAACGCATCGAAAAAGCAGGAGGTTTGAGTTTGGGGCCCCCCCCCCCAACGTAGAGCTTTAAATTCCACTGAGCGAGGCTTAAAAAAATACGATCATGTCCAAAATCTGGACACCATGTTAGGATATAAATGATCCAGGAATACAAAACGAAAGAAATAATTCATAAAAAAAATACGATCTAGAAAAGTTTTCATTGTAATTTAATATTTAGAATTTTTTTTGTTTGTTTTTCATATTGTTTTATTTCATTTTTATTGCATTTTTTCAGATTTTTTTTGGATTAGATTAGATGAGCTTTATTGATCTCACAGCGGAGAAATTCACTCGTCACATGTTGGCATCGAAGTTACAGAAGGTGCAAACAGGGAGGAAAAAGGTGCATTAAGAATAAGCAATATATATACCGTATATCAAGATAAATAAGGATTAAGATGCAAGTGTACATGTACCACAACACAATGAAAAAACAAAATAAAAATAAGAAATAAAAATATGTACAATCCGGATGGCTTATATACAGGTGGATTTACTTTTACGTTAACGTGTAGTAGGTGAGGTGGTGGTATGACTATTCTATTCACGTATATTGCACACTCAGCATATTGCACAGTATTGTATGTAGTTTTCATATTTTTTCATATTATTGTTTTAATTAATTTAATCCGCGCGGCGGACTGGAGTTGTGATGGGCAGCCCGGGCCACAGGCGGCTACGCTCTACCCCTTCTATTCATTCTAGCTCATCTGAATCGTTCATCTGGAGAGCGAGATCATCTGTAGCAGCACTAGACATCTTCCAGGCATGAGAGGAAAACTAGCTGCAGTTCAGCGGACAGGAAGAAGGAACGGCGGCCGGCGCACGCTGATGACGTCATATAAAACAATATAAATATAAAAAATATAACGGTGGATGTCTGGGGGACAGTGATTGGCCTCCATGTTCTGAATGCTGGCGTACCATAAAGAATAAATGATGAACAGTTTAGTTTGTGCCTTCAAGTCGTTGCCCATAGGAAGACGTTACTGGATATAACCTAACGGAATATCTTCAGAACGGCTCCAAATGACACTAAACTCATATGGGAGAGTAGAACAGGATGGAATAACGGAAAATCAAAGGGCCGATGTAAAAAAAAAACAGCATTTCCCCATAGAGGTCGTTTCACAATTCACAAGAACGCGAGTAGGGACTCCTGTTGTCGCGAAGTACGTTCTTAAGAAGAACACAGGAAAGTCTGGACTCAGTGAGAATGGGAGCAGGCAGAATAAATCTGGGTCAATTGGAAGAGAAGCATCCTGATGACATCAGAACCCGTTCGGCTCGTCTGGAACTGGTTTTGACCTCCTGTTATTAATAGTCTCGCTAATGCTAGCCCGTCTGCAGCAGCCAGAGCTAACGTTACCCTGGCCGCTGCAGATGGGCTAATGTTAGCCCTGGCTACAGTTAGCCTCAGAGCTCCCCTGGTTTCCACGGTCCTTTCAACATCAGAACTTTTTTTTTAAATTAAGCACTAAATCTGTAAATGTTCCATATAGTGACGCTTAATCCTTGCCTCAAATTATTGTAAAACATACTTTTATTGAACAACAGCAACAGAAAAGAGAACTTTTAACTTAATCCTCTGCTCTGTGAGCGCTAACCTGTTAGCTGCTGCTGCAGTGCATGCTGGGACGGCTGTCAGTCTGGAGAACGGACAAGTCTTCATGTTCTTGTGAACTAAAACAGTACGAAGGCTGAGAATCATGAGTTTCACAAGGACACGAGAACGCACAAGTACACACGTTGAGAAACGGTCGAAGATTTGGTTCAAAGGAGGAACTGAAAATGAACCAAAATGGCTTCATAAAAAGCAGCACAGCTGCTGACCTTTGACCTCTTGTCATTATTTCAGGTCGTCTGTAGGTTTGGGTTTCCTGTCTCTGGCTGCAGGCGTGTTTGCTGCGTATCTGTTGGCGCTGGCGGCGCTCAGCCCCTGTCCGCCGCTGCAGGACAGCCTCGTTGGAAAGGCGTTGGTGGTGAGCGACTTCTTCTTCTTCTGGGCTTTTTCTCAGCTGACTTGGATCGATAAAAGTTTAACTTTGAACAGACCCTTATTCTGACCACATTAACTATTCATGAATTGATCTAAAGCTGGTTGAGCTTATTTACTGGCTAATAATAAATATAAAGCAGCCATTTTCTTAAAAATAAGCACTTCCATGTCACAGGACTTTATGACTTTTCAGTTAGATTACACAAATTTATTCAAATTAAAAACAATTTAAACTGTCGTCAAACTGGATGAGAAATCTACATTCTATATTCTAAATGTTAATTAATATAATATCCAATCCAATAAATAGACAACATTTTATATTAATGTATATAGTTATATGATTTCTAAAATGACATAATTATTCACCTCTTTTGGAAATTCAAACTGTTTAAAACTCTTTTCTCTGCTTCAATACAAAATTGAAATGATGCATTAATTTACTAAATAATTCATATTAATCGTGTTTCCCCTGAAATGTTGACATTTTCAGTCGGCCAGTTTATCGTTTTAGAGTTACCGCGTTCTGAGTGTCTGAAATCATAACGTACCGTATACTTTAATTAACGTCTCTCTGTGACGGCAGCCTGGTCTGACCAAAGATGGCCGCTCTGTCGGCACGCCTCGTGCCCACTGGTCTCTATTTTATTCACTGGATTGATAGCCTGCTGGTTGTACAGGGTTGAAGTGAAGCCATCGGCCTCCATATTGGTACTCCCTAGTTAGACCGGTCGCAATGTAAACAATCTGTGCGCTACATCATCAAACAACCATGTCTAAACGTCCAAACGTCTTCCCAGAGCCCTGCTTGTTTTTGCAGTCAAATGGTAATTACATACTCCATGAGAGTGGGGAGTACCAATATGGCGGCCCATGGCTTCCCTTTTCGGCCAATCCAGGGAATAAATAGAGAATAGTGTTCTCACCCTAGAGAGCCTATGTCGCTCTGACAGACAGTCGGACTATTTCAACACTTTTTGTTTTTCTGTGAAGTGGATGCTAACTGTGAGCTAGCTCTCTATTTTAAGTCTAATCCACCAATCAGAGCTGGAAGAGCCTTGGTTCTGCTAGCAGAGCTTTAAACAGGAGCTTCTGGTTCTGGTTCCCCTCAGAGGGACGTTAGAACTCGGCTCCATGAAGGTCATGACCTCATAAAGCTCCTCCATCCACCATGCTAACTGCTAGCATGTCTTCTTCTATCCTGTTCTGCTGCTCCTCCATCAGCGCCGCTAAACGGACCCTTTAGGAGAACCGGAGTTTATCAGAGTTTAGATTCACTAACGGAACCACAGGAAGTTCATCCTGGATCCTGGGATCCGTTAATCCGGACCGGATTCTGGATCCAATTATGGTTCTGTTCTAGCATGAATCTACTATAACTTAACTACATTTAAAATAGCAGCAAGGCTCTACTTAAGAATGAACAGAGGCGCCCTCTGCTGGGTGACGATAAAATTAAGACATTGAAAGAAATTTCTTTTGTTGATGCATTTAGCGCACACAAAGTAATACGAAAGAGTATAAGGGCCAGACTAGAGTTTTTTTTCTTCTATTTTGTGAATAAAGTCGAGAAACAAGTTGTATTTTATGACAACTCTTCTAAGACACTCCCTAAAGTGAGGAATGTGGAGCATCATGTGAAGTTCTACTTTAGCATCGGTTTGACCAATCAGGAAATCTTTTAGCAGCAGCATCAAACTGGGCAGGAGGTCAAAGTGGACTCTGGTTGCTGATTGGTGGAGCTGGTCGGCCGTCATCTGGTGGGCGGAGCTCCAAGCTTTCTTTCTGAAACAGGTTGCTGTATGATGACTTCATTCTCGTAATGTTACGACTTTATTCTCGAAATAGAATAAAATAAAATCTGTAACCTGGCCCTAATACTCTGTGGTAAAGTAGACACAACTCTAAAGTGGACGTTTAAAGTTGATCTGATTTAACTACTTTTACTGTTTATAACTGATCCAAATTATTCGTAGGTGGATTATTTAACATTCTTACCAGAAACTGTCAGAGCAGAACTGATCCCGTGTTTCTCTGCAAACAAACCAGTCGTCTCTGCGGGGAGGAGAGAAGAGCTGCCATGTTTCTAAAATAACGGCAAAATAAACTTAAAAGAAGAACTTTTAGTAATATAATTACATTATTTATGACCACCTGGGTAATATCTGGTTGCACATGCAGAAATGAGCCGATGGTACGGATCGTGCTTCCAGTGCGGATCCGGTAGTGACACGCACTTCTTTAGGTGGACTTTCACATTAAAAGCCTCACTCACCCAGCTGCCCGTGTTCGCCCCCTGCAGGTCATCTCCTGGATCGTCTTCACCGGCCTCTTCTCCTACCTGAAGGTGGTGATCGGCACTCTGCTCCATGAGACGGGTCACGCCGCGCTGCTGTGGTGTGGCATCTCCATCCAGGCGGGCTCCCTGGTGGGAGCGCTCACCATGTTCCCCCTGGTGAACGTCTACCAGGTGTTCCAGAGGGCCCAGGACTGCGTGGCTCCGGTCTGTTAGCAGCGGGCCCCCCCCCCGGCTCCCGAGCCGTGAACATGAACATTCCTGGGTCACCGGGACCGTTTGTGCCTGGAACATCATCCCGGAGCCTCTTCAGCTCCTGAGGATTCAAAGGTTTACATGGAAGCTCCTCACCATCATTACCTCCAACCATGGTGAGGATCCACAACATTCCCTGATGTCATCGCTTTCCTTCAGTTTTATATTTTTAGGGATTTTTTGGGGGGCGGTGTTAAAAGGAATCCGCTGGTCAGACTGGGACATCTGAGCCTCGCTTCCTCATTCAGCTGCTCTGGGATCTGCTGAAGCAGCAGACGTCACATGATTGTTCAGCAGAACTGACTCTAGAGCGCCAAATAAAACAGGAAGTCACTCCAAGCTGAGAACGGAGAGCTGATCGGGCGACGCTGCACCCCTCCGCCATCCGTAGGGGAACATCAGACCATCCTGTGGTGGATTTTGGTTTATTGATGTTTCTCTGCTGAGTTTCTTAAAATGTTTTTAAAGTGTGCTGATGAATAAAAACCCAGTTAAGTCGGATCTGTTTGTATTTTGTACGTTGATGGAGCTGCAGCCATGATGGATGCAGCTGATGCTAACTGCTAAATCAGGTCTGATGTCGGCCTTTTTCATCTGGGCATTATTTTATAAAGCAGAGTTCTTTCACCCCCTGGTTGCTCAGTAACACGGTTGTTTGGACTAAACCTCAGTTTTTTACTTTTTTAGCTCAGTTTTAGATTTATTGAATGTATGAAATATTAGCGTGTGAAGCTACAGACCCTGCTATGGACACGCATTCAATGCACAGGCGAATAATTATGATGAATAAAAAGAAAAACAATTTTTACTTTAACCCCTCGCGACCCCAATTGGGACAAGCGTGTAAGATAATGGATGGATGGATGGATGAATTTTTACTTTAGATCTTTTGTATTTAACACGTTTTCTTTAAATGTAGAGTTTTTTTCTCTCACATTTAGACAAACACTAAACCTAAATGTTAGATTTATTCCCGGTTCCTAGATCTATATATGAATATTAGATTTAGGTCTGAACCTTTAAAACCTTTAATCTTAAATTGCAAACTTTGATTGGTTGATATGCAAACTAACCACGCCCCTTTCACAGCTCAGCTTGTAGCCTGAAGGACCCTTCTGTTCCGTATCCCCACTGGGGGGGCGTGGCCAATTCTGGCGCTGTGGATTCACATAAGATCCCTATAGAAACGGCCAGCGGTGAATTCCAGTGGAGATCAGCAAGAGATCAGGCTCTGGATAGAGGAGAAGCTTATACTTAAAGACGTAGGGAAGTAATATTTAAATTTCAAATTATTCTGGCTTAAACATCTATATAAATGTTCTCTTTATCAGACAATATTGTCCCAAAATTTATATTTAAAAGAAAATCCTGTCTTAAAATCTGTGTTTTTTCCATAATCTTCTGCAGGCCAGGTAGTTCTACGTCAGCCTGAACACCTAAATTCAGCCAATCGTATATCAACAGTCATCTGTCAATCAAATGCTTTCGGTCATAGCATCTTGATTCATATGTCGCAGCTAATATACGCAACGGTTGAAACCAGAATCCTTTCCTTTCCCATTGAGTTGCGTCCCAGTGTTCACGGGGATGGACGTCTGTGTCTTCGGCAGGCGTAGAGCTAACAGAACTGGCAGCGTTGCGAGGCAAGGGCTCAAACATGTACGGCTGGAAGCCTTCTACACCAAACCAAGCTTCTGCCGCCCTGGCGTCCTCTTCCACAACATCTTCGTCCCCGCTTTCCTCCTCTAAATAAAAAATGCATTTTGAAATTACCCGCTGGTAAAAGAAAAAAAAAAGGGAATTTGATGTTTTTTCTGTAAAACAAAACAGGAAAACATCAAGAAATGCAATTATGACGAGTCCTACAGCTGACAAATATTAATTAGAGTCAGTTTGATGGTTTCAACTGGATGCTAACAACTGGCTAACTGGGCCTGGGCGTCTGTGTCCAGTTCCTACTTCACGCCGCTCCAGAAGAAAGACCAGCAAACAATCAGGATGGTTCTGATCCATGTTCACCGGTGTACCGTCGGTCTGGCTGTTAACCTGCCTGCTTTCACTTCCAGGTCTAAAGCTGGGAGATGGAGATAATAAAGCTACAGGCATTGCATCATCGCTCCTCATATGGACGCAGGGATTCTGTTAGAAGGCCTTCCTCTGATCAGAGGCGTTTCTTACGCTTTTGTCAAATGGTAACAAAAAAAAATGTCCTTCAATTAGTCGGTTTTCTCTTAATAATCAGAACAGATTAGCAGGAGCTGCTTCTTCATCACCATTATCCTCATTTTTATCCTCTTTATCCTCTTCTTCTCCATTCTGCTTGTTAGTGTGGCGCTGTAAGGTCAGAGGTCAGTTTCTACAGAAGGTCTAAAGATCTTTTCAATTCAGTTCAATTTATTTCTATAGCGCCAATTAACATTCGTGGGGAAAAAAGAACTGATTGGGTTTTGATCAATAGAAACTTTCCTGTTTCAGTCTAATCTTGAAGAACAAAAAGTTTCTATTAAAAAATAATAAATATTTCTCAAATAACCGTAAGAGTTTAGAGCGTTGATGGTGAGTTTCAGACCACTGCTGCACTTTATGACATCAGCTCTCTTTAGCCATTTAAAGGGCAAGTTACCGTTTTTGATCCCTTGCACACCCCCCCCCCCATCCCTCAGCGAGTTCTAGAAGCACAAGCTCTATATCCAGCCATTCAGCTAAGATGCTGTTACATGACTGCACATCTTCTTTTGGCATTTCACCAATTAGATGGAAATTAAGTTGGAAAAATATTTTTTAAGTTAATAAGCCTAGTTAACAATTATATCCAATCCATTTTATTTATATAGCACGATTTCAATAAACACAAGGTTTCCAAAGTGCTGCACAAGAAAGATAAAATAACTAAAATAAAAGCACTGCCCGCACAGGATAAAAATATGCATGTGTATAGATAAAATCAACACTCTACATGCTGTTAAAAGCCAAAGAAAAGAGGTGGGTTTTAAGAAGAGTTTTAAAATGAGACGGAGAGGTGGCCTGTCTAATGTGCAGCGGCAATCCATTCCAAAGTTTTGGAGCTGCAACAGAAAACGCTCAATCCCCTCTGAGCTTAAGCCTTGCTTGAGGCACCGTCAGGAGCAGCTGATCAGCTGACCTGAGAGATCGGCTGGGCGTGTGGGGGTGCAGAAGCTCAGAGAGGTAAAGTGGGGCAAGGCCATTCAAGGCTTTAAAAGTAAATAAAAGAATTTTAAAATTAAACCTAAGATGGATGGGCAGGCAGTGGAGTGAATTATATTTAGGTTTATGAACTAAAAAATTTAGGTGCCAGCATCAGCATTAATGCCTCTAAGGCAGGGGTCATGGATTAGCGGACCGCGGGCCAGATTCGGACCCAACCTGATTTTAAAAATTTATAAATTACCGCATGTTGTCTGATGACAGTGTCTAATTTCACTTGCTCCTCTTCTCCTGTTAATACGGTAAAGCCCTGGGGAGCGTCCGGCTCCAGGCTGCACGTGATCCAAATGAGCCAATGAGCTGTCAGTCTGGGTTGCTGCTGCTGCTACTTTTAGACACAGCAGGCAAACCTGTGGCAAGCCGGGCGATGGGAAAGAAGGAGAAGAGCATGAGAAAAAGAGAGCAGAGAAAGTGTGGACTGCTGGAAGAACTGCGGTGAACTGGTGAAAGAAAAGTGAAATGGCGTGCTCAAAGATGACCCTGCACATTTAGAGGATGTTTGGCTCAACCTGCTGCTGTGAAGCAGGATTCTCCACCATGAACAGAATCAACAATCAATCTGGATCCAGGCTCAAAATGAGCTCCTTGATATGTGCTTGAGAATGGCTTAGTCTCCGGTTAAACCCAGGTTTAAAGCCTTGCAGGGCAGCCTAAAGCCCACTGCCAGCATTAAGACAGAAAAAAGAAAGAAAATAAAAAACCATCAGTTCAGGGGTTTGAGAAAATATGGGAATCAGGAAATTGTCTATAAACCAAACTGAACGATTGTTGTTCTCTACTTCAAAAAACACTTTAGATTTTAAAATGAAAATAATTTTCGTATTTAAAAATTGGATGCATTAAAAACCTAACTTTATTTCAGTGTTAAATTCTGTTTAAAGTAACAGATTATAATTAAAAATGTCTCTGGACCTTTACTGGTTGATGATTTTCTTTATTCGGACCTGCTGATCTTTAATTGGTTACCGCTGTTCTAAGGTCATATTGTACCAAAAAAAAAAAAAGAAAAAAGTTTTCTTTCACTCTCAGATTGTTTTTCATGAATTTCTTCTAGAAGCACTTTTGTTATTTTTCTTAATATATTCAGGCAAGTTGGCCTTTCTTGTTATTATATTGACATAAAGTTTTGCAATCAAAATATCCACATTTTTTTAATGTTCTAAAGGTAATAAGGTCCTGGATTCCAATAATAATATTGGCTGGAAATTCTAATTTTTAAAGTAAGTGCAAAGCGCACTTAGTGAAATACTTTGAAAATAGTAATGTATAAAGTTGGAGACTTCTAATCATAATTCTACTTTATTTTCTTATTTTTTATGTCATTTAATTCTATTGTTTAATGTAAACTTTACAATTTACAAGGATCTTATATTTTCTCAAAATCTCAGACACATAAAGAAGAATTTTTCCAAATAATTTGTTGTTTGCAGGAAAAAGAAAAAGTTCAAAATGTTAAAACCAAAACGTGACTGTTGAGCAATCTGCAGCTGAGGCCTGCAGCCTTGTCTCTCCCCCCCCCCCCACCCGCTCTCTTCATCCCCTTAAGAAGATTAAACCGAATTCTGCAGATGTTTCAAATTCTTCCAGGAAAAAGCACGAAAGCGGTGGAATGATGCTGAAAAGTGGGAGAAGTCGCTGAGCATCCTGACGTCCTTCACCGTGGAGACAGCTGTAGGTGGATCCTGGTTGGCTGCAGGATCTCACACCCACTCGTCTCCTTTAGTCTCCAGGCACGCTCCTACGGTAAACTACTCGGGACTTTGGCTCCTTTCAGGCTGCAGGAAAACTCTCCATTAAGCAGCAGGTGAGTCTCTGCAGAGATCATGCTTTCTGTTCTTTATTAAAGTTCTTAAATCAACATAAATCTGCAGATGGACGGAGCTCAGCTCCAAGTTCAGCTTTATTCAATAAAATAGGTCCTGTTTTACTATCTAAATGGTTCATTCTATACTCCTTCGGTTATCCACATAAATGAATAAACGTTTTTTTGCAGAATAAGTCCAGATATTTGCTGTTTTTAACTCCTCAGCATGTCCTGGTTTAAATAAACAGCAGCCTGTGGGTCAATGTTTTCTCAGCTTACATAAAGGACGGCCGGTGCTGTATGTGGTCGCGTTTCTGATCGTAACTCTCAAGCTGATCCAAATCTAACAAAGAAACAAAAAGATTTCCATCCTGTTTCAGCTGCAGTGAAGAAAAGACGGCAGAATAAACGAAGAGCTAAAGGTTTACTGGATGCAGGAATAATTCACCTGCTAGTTGGCAGATGATGCCTCCTCATGGTGACACATTAATCTGGATTTCTGTCCTTCGGCCTCAAACTGGTTTCAGCAGAGAAAATGTCTCAATGCATTTAAAGGTTTTCACAGGAAACACATTTTTATGTCCTGATAACTGAAGCTGTTAAAGAGAAATCCTGCCTTAAAGTAAAAGCCTTTAAAGGCTCCAGACATAAACAGAAAGGCTTTGTGACGTTCTGAGCGTTTCTGTAAGAAACCAGAGCATCTGTGAGGTCAGACACTGATGTTGGACTGAATTCATCCTGAAGCTTCTCCTTTGACTTTCCTTTCACACCAAACTCCTCCCATCAGGCCGCTGTCCAATCAGACCTCCATCCTGATGAAGCTGGAGCAGATCAGGCTCAAACGTTTCCTCACAAAGTTTAGGGCAGTAAAATCCTCCAGAGACGTTTGGTTTGTTAAAGCATCAAAAGCTGCTGGTTACCTGGCAACGGCTAAACTTATGCTGCGATCTTACAGAAGGCGTTAAAAACGCGCAAACGCCGAAATCTGGATGCTGGATCAAACTGGTCAAGATGCTTTGATGCTCTGGCTGCTCAATGCCAGGGGCGGATTTAGGAAATCTGGGGCCCTAGGCAAAGACAGGCAGGGGGCCCTCTGAATGGAGAAGACAACACATAGAACAGCCCCATTCTCCAGATAGAGAAATGTTAATAGAATAGACATCCATTATCTGTTCTAGGTTGTGTCCCTCTCTTCTTGTCCCTTTTCTTCTTGTTTTCCTCTCTATGTTTTGTACTCAGCTGACTTTTCATGCTGTCTCTAAAGGAATGAAAGATTTTTTCCAAGCACTAAGCTCACTTAGCTGATTGCTCCTTCCTGTGTTTCCAAAAAGGCCAAAGTAAATAACCCAGTCCTTCTTTTCACTGTAGACAAGCCATGATCTGCTTATCTGTTCTCCATTTTTCATTTGGATGAAATAATAGCTGCATGAATCATGACAGCAGACAAGATAGAGGAGAGCAGGAGGCGGGGTTACCAATCTACTCGCTCTGGAGAGCAGAGTTCGCTGCTTTTAGATGTTGTCTCCAAAGTCTCCAGTAGCAGAAAAAAGTCTCTAGATTTGGCGCTAGGAGCTTTTTAGAAATCAAAGTGCTAGAGGGGTCTGAAAAGTGGCTAAATATAGCGACTAAAGCGCCAAGTTGGCAACACTGCTCTTTGCATGGTTTGTTTTCAAATGGTTTGCTGCTGTCTGTTTGTCTTCCTGCAGGGCGCCTCCATCATGTCCTTGTTCACCCACCTGTTGGCGGTCCTCTTCGGGATGGGCTCCTGGGTCTCCATCAACGGGCTCTGGGTGGAGCTGCCTCTCATCGTCCCTCAGATCCCAGAGGGATGGTACCTTCCCTCTTACCTCTCCGTCCTGATCCAGATGGCCAACGTGGGGCCGCTCTTCGTCACCCTGATGCACCGCTTCCAGCCGGGCGTCCTGAACGAGGCGGCTGTCGTTTACGCCATCATCGTTCTTGGAGCTGCGGCCAGCTTCCTGCTGGGTTTCTTCTGGAAAGAGACGGTGCTGATCGCAGGCGTTCCCCGCAGTCTGGCCCTTCTGGTATTGACCTTCTTCCTCGCCGCCGTCGACTGCACCTCCTCCGTCACCTTCCTGCCCTTCATGATGCGCCTGCAGCCTCAGTATCTGACCACATACTTCATCGGCGAGGGTGTGAGCGGCCTGCTGCCGGCTCTGGTGGCTCTGATCCAGGGTGTGGGGGTGGTGCATTGCGTCAACACCACGCAGTCGCTCAACCACACCCTCAACGCCTCCATCGGGTCAGGAAACGGCGACCTGCAGGCCCAGTACCAGCCGTCCAACTTCTCCGCCGAGATCTTCTTCTTCTTCCTCAGCGCCATGATGCTGGTGTGCCTGGTCTCTTTCCTGCTGCTGAACCGCCACCCTGCGGTCGCCAGGGAGCATCCCGCCCCGCGGTACACCAACGGGACGAAGGAGACCTCGGAGAGGAGGACGCGGGCCGAGCAGAGACCCATGATGGATCCGTTCAGGCATCAGAACCACAATCCCCGAAGCAGCTTTGGGAGCGGCTCATACAGCTGGATGCAGGTGCTTTATATCTTCGTGGTTCTGGCCTGGGTGAACGCTCTGAGCAACACGGTCCTCCCATCCGTCCAGTCCTACTCCTGCCTGCCGTACGGAAACAACGCCTACCACCTGTCAGCCACGCTGGCCGCCGTGGCCAACCCGCTGGCCTGCTTCATCGCCATGTTCGTCTCTATCAGGTCAGCGAGAATCATCTTGTTCCTGTAGGTGGGCGGTGGTACGAAATGAGCAGGAGAACCAGAGACCTGAAACAGTAAACAGATGTGATTCTGCAGGTCGCTGGTGTTCCTGGGGTTCCTGACGGTTCTGGGCTCGGCGATCGGGTCGTACATCATGTTGGCGGCGGCGCTGAGCCCCTGCCCCCTGCTGGTTAACCAGACTTCAGGTTCAGCCGTCATAGTGAGTCCACCTCTGTCCTCTGTCTGAAAGTTTCCCGCTAAATCCTAACGGCTCGTCCGTCTGCTCCGCAGGTTCTGGCCTGGATCCTCTTCATCCTGTCCCTGTCCTACGTGAAGGTCATCATCGGGATGATCCTGCGAGACGAAGGCCACAGCGCCCTGGTGTGGTGTGGAGCGGTGGTGCAGCTGGGCTCCCTGCTGGGGGCCGTCACCATGTTCCCTCTGGTCAGCGTTTACACCGTGTTTTCAGCAGGAGATCCGTGCAACACCAGCTGCCCCTGAGGTCACCCTCCGCTCGGTTCACACCGACCCCAAGGTTCTGCTGTTTCCCACTGAGATTCCTGTGACCTGAACGCATCATTCCAGTCCCTCTGGTCCAGAAGATGTTTGCTGTTATTTCAGCTCCATTTACCTGCTCAGGTAGCAGGATAAGGACGGGGGGGTGTGTTGTTTATTCTGAGGAGACAGCATGGGCGTAGGTTTGCATAGGGACCATAGGGACATGTCCCTACCAAGATTTTGGACCGAACTATTTATCGATTTGAATAACTTGTTTATAATTAAAAATTCAGCATGGTGGATCACACACAGCCAAATCGTTTTCTCTCGCAGCTCAGTAGCTGCTGCCGCCGCTCCATCTGAATCCTGTCCCTTAAATCAGTAACTGGTGTTTAACTCCACTCTCATTGGTTGTTCGGCCTCAAGTTCCGCCTTCCCTTTTCCTGATTGGCTGTTTTCTAGTCCGTATGAGCGTATGCATGCTTGGAGCATGAAATAAGAATTTTATTTACGCTACTTCAAATAATATTAGGCTTCGAAAAAAAAAACGTATTCTATCTACACTAAAACAGGCGAAAGCTGCTGATTGCTGATTCTTAGTCACAGCCGACTGAAAAAGAAAATATGAGGGTTTCCCTTTTAACAGTAATTCATTGCAATTACTGTTTTCATTTTATGACGACCCTTTGAGGCAGTTCAGCTATATATAGCAGGTTTTATTTCTTTTATAGAGTATAAAAACACGAGATGGCGCCTTAACATCTGATATTTTTTGTTTAGAAAGTATAATTACGGTTCTACATAATATTGATATTTCTTTGACTATTTCTACTTTTAAAAATGGGATAAAGCCAATAACAAACATAGGAACACTATTTATATCGATTTTATTTTACATAGATGTCCACACAGTCCATAAGTTAATTATTACAAACATTAGTTTGCATCTAGAAGCAAGAAATGCTGCTTTTCTCTTTAAATGAAATGCACCCTGATGCTCACTTCAAGCATAAAAAAGCATGCATATTTTTGCATGGGTAAAATGACATTAATGAAACTTAGGAGCAATAGTGTCCCTACCAAACACTGCATGCAAAGTGGGATTTTCGTCAATATACGGCACTGTAGATTGTCGTGGAACTTCAGGTTAGCGGCAGTTTACGGAATTTTGAAACCTTCGCCAAAAACCCCCGTAAATTGTCAAAAAATTGGGGGAAATTTTTCTTGGCAGTGTTCCCCCCTGCCCCCCCCCAGGGAATTTCTAGGGGAGGTTTTTTTAAAAGTTAATGACATGTGGAGCTATACAAATGCAAACCCAGGGTTGGGGGGGGGGGAAAGCAACCCGGGTAAGAAATTTCTCTGATACAAAGAATCAGGCTCGAAATGCCTTTACATTTTAGTTTAAATTGATTTTTTTAATTAAAGTTTAGGGACCAAAAAGATCTTCGGCGCCCGAGCAATACATTTGGGCCAGTAATTATTTTTTTTTTTTAATTTCATTTAAGATAAAAAATAAAATGTTGTTTTAATATGCTAAATTCACAATTACTTAAAGTGGAAAAGTTTAAAGAAATGATTTTGAGATGATTCCTTTATAACTGGCGCATTACCCCTGTTGGAAGAAAGGCCTCAAAGATTGGTACACGTGGTCATAAGGACTTAGGTCGCATGTAAATTGGTTTTAAGGGGCCCCAAAGTGGGGCAATAAATTCCCCCAAATAGAGGTAGAAATAGATCAGGTCATTATACCCTAATTATAGCCCCTTACATTTTAGTTGAATTTATTTTTTTGTTTAAAGTACGTAATTAAGTGTAGAAAATGTTTTTAAAAAAAAAATACACAAAATAATTTACTTAAAAAAATTAGTTTTAATCAAAACGTTGGCTGAAAGGTTAATTTTCTTTTTTTAGTTTTCCCCTTTTTTTTTTTTTTTTTTTTTGTTATTAAATTTAAAAAGAAACAATAACAATCTCAAAAAAACAAGTCAAATAACAAATATTTCAATACAAGAAGAAATATCACAACTCCGCTTTTGAAAAAATAAAATTAAATGCACAGGGGGGAACAAATTTAAAAAAATAAAAAAAAATAAAAAAAATAAATAAAATAATAATGTAGTTAAAGTAAATTAATCAGGGGGGACCCCAAACTAAAATTTCTTAAATTTAAACTCAAACAATTTAATTGCATTTAAATTCTCATCTTTTTCAACATCTTTTGAAAAGGGGAAAGTTCATTTTGGAGCAGGAGGAGAGGGGCTTTTGCATAGCGCATTTATGGATATAAAACTTTTTCAATTTTAGAATATTTTAAAAATTCAAATTTTTTTTTTTCTTTAAGGATAAAAGAATTGATTTTTTTAAAAGGGAAAAAAATCTAAATTTTTTTGTTTTAGAAGACAGAAAGGTTCGAAGTTGATCCCAAAATTTAATACTTCTTTACATTTAAAAGAGTTTTTGTTTTTTAAAATTTTAAAAAAGCCCCTTTTTTAAATTTTAAAAATTTTTTCTCCCTTTTTTTAAATTAAAATTTTTTTTTTTATTTTTAAATTGAAAATTTTTTTATATTTGGGGAAAATTGGAATTTCAAAAAATTTTTAAGGGGCTTCTTAAATTTTTTTAAAATTTTTAAGATTGTTTTTTTTTGGGTTCATTTATTTTAAAATTTTTCCAAAACTTTTTCATTTTTTCCAAAATTTTCCCCCTGCCCAAACAATTTATGGAACCCAAAAAACAATTTAACATTTTGGGGGCTTCCGAAACCCCCAATGAGGGGAGGGTTTTGCTCCCCTTCGTTCAATACGTGTTGGTTGGGGGCCAAGACTTTGGCCCCCCCGGCCAACTTTGAGCTTTTTTTGACACACTTTGGAGACCACAAATTTCGTTTTTTTTTGTTTTCTAAAAACTGAAAACTTCTCCGTTACCGGTTTTATTTTTTGCAAAAAATTTTCCGCCAGCTGGAAGAAAAGCTTTGTCCCCCTTCGGCCGCCCCAACGAGAGGGAAAAAAGTGAGCTATAGGGATTCTCTCAGTTGCCCCCCGCCCGGGGACAGAAAAGGGGCGCTGGGAAAATTGGAAAGGGCTCCTAAAAGGAAGATGGGGCTGGGGGTTTGCGGGATTGTGGGGGGGCGGGTTTTCAAAGACTGCGGTTTGTTTTCGGTGTATGGGGGGCCGGGTGTTGTGGGTGGCCCTTGTGGTAAGTGGTTGTTGTTTTTTTGTGTTTTTTTTTTTATTACGGGTGTTTGGGGTTTTTGGGATAATTTGGGCGGCGCTAGAAAGGGGAAGGTGGGGTTTTGTTGTTTCTTTCGGGGCGGGCTATGTTTTTTTTTTTTAAGCTGCGTAAAAGGGCGGTGCCCCCTTTTTTGTGGGGGTTTTAGTGTTTTTGGGGTGGAAGTGTTTTTTTGTTTTTTTTGTTAGGACTTTGGGTTTATTTTTTTTTTTTTCTCCTTCTTTGTTTTGGGGTGGGTTGGGTATTTGGGGTTGCGGGTTTTGTTTTGGTGGGTGCCCCCCGGGGGTGGGGTTTGTGGGGTCGGGAGGGGGGGGTTTGACTTATTTGGGGGGTTTTTTTAGGGGATTATAAAGTGTTGGTTGGGTGGTGTTATTGGGTTTTTTTTTTTGTGTGGGGAGGGAATGGTTCTGGGGTGGTCTGGAGGGGGGGTGGGGGGGTCCTGAATTTTTTGGTTTCCCCCCATTTGGGGGATTCCTGCTTGTTTAATTGGGGGTGGTGGGTTTGGGGTGGGCCCCGCCAGTAGCGTAAAGGCCGTCTTAAAAAAGCGGCGTTTCCTCCACCCCGGAAACAAACGGCCCTTCAGGAAATTTTTTTTTAGTAGTTTGGGTTTTTTAGGTTTTTTTTTAATAAGTTTTTTTGCTAAAAACTTCCGGAAACTATTCTTTAAAATTACGGGCCGAGGTGTTTTAAAATTGTTATAGGTAAAAAAAATTAACCCCCATTGATTTTTTAAAAAAATTAATATTATAATTTAATTAAAAAAAAAATGAAAAAAAAAAATTTGTTAAAATATTTTTAAAATCCCCGACTTTACTTGTTTAAAAAATGGTTTCAAAACCCCCATGGAAAAAAAAAATGGGGGGCCCTTTTTGGGGTTTTTCCCAATTTTTTGAACGTTTTTACCCCGTTTAGTGGGGGTTTTTGCCAAATTTGGAAATTTTTCAGAAAATGGAAAGGGGGGTTTGCTATTTTTCTATTAGGGCCTTAGTAATGTGTTCCCAAAACGCAAGTCCGTTTTGTTTTAAGGGGAAAAACGGGAAGACGGGTTGCAAATTGTCGGAAACTGACGAAAATCAGGCAGATCTGCGGGAGTTTACGGGGGTTTACGGGGACGAAAATCTCACTTTTCATGCAGTGAAACTGGAAATCAAACCTACTCCCTTGGGAGACAGAGTCCTCAGGGTTCTGCCTGTATAAGTCCACTTTTTCTACATTAACATGATTGGTTGACTTCCTTACTATAAAAAAAAATCACTCCTATTTTTATTCCCCTCAAGGCAGGAAAACAGCTTAATTTGGCGCCTTAGAACTTTTCTCATGTTTTGTAAATCCTTAAAGTCGTAGGGAAGCATCCAACGGTTGCATTACCGAATTCTCCCAGTGGTGCCCGACTTTACACGAATAAATAAAGTGAATGCGATTGGTCGATTATCAAGGGGGCGGGATTATTGTGGCAGAAGGATCGCAAGCAAGTTTGGTTGTGGCCGGTTTTTGGGAAGCATCTTGCTAACCAGTTAGCAACTTAGCGCTAGCAGGTTCCCAATGGGAAATTCCATTGGGACCAAGTAGCACTAAATTGGTGACTTAGAAACGACGCTGTCAAGGAACGCTATGGACAGCGGAAACATGCAAGAGGAGGAGAGTTTAGTGTCGGAGGTCGTGGATGAGTCTCCTCCGTCATCCATTTTTTATTTAGAGCAGGAAAGCGGGGACGAAGATGTTGTGGAAGAGGACGCCAGGGCGGCAGAAGCTTGGTTTGGTGTAGAAGGCTTCCAGCCGTACATGTTTGAGCCCTTGCCTCGCAACGCTGCCAGTTCTGTTAGCTCTACGCCTGCCGAAGACACAGACGTCCATCCCCGTGAACACTGGGACGCAACTCAATGGGAAAGGAAGGGATTCTGATTTCAACCGTTGCGTATATTAGCTGCGACATATGAATCAAGATGCTATGACCGAAAACATTTGATTGACAGATGACCGTTGATATATGATTGGCCGAATTTAGGTGTTCAGGCTGACGTAGAACTAACTGGCCTGCAGAAGATAACGGAAAACACAGATTTTAAGACAGGATTTCATTTTTAAATAGAAATTTTCTAAATTTTAGAACAATATCATCTGATAAAGAGTACATTTATATACACTTTAAATCCAGAATGATTTGACATTTAAATATGATAATTAGGAAATGCAACATTTGGAACAGCCACTTCCCTACGACTTTAAAAGTTTTTAACTGAAATATGTTTAAATCGGAGCTGAATGATTTCTGTTAATAAACTCTTATATTTTGAACAGAAGTTGTGGTAAATTTATTCCACAAATGGATTCTGCACATATGGATATGTGCAGAATTATCTCTTTGACTATGAATTGAACTCGATTCAACCTTTGATTTATTGTTTTAACACACAGCCAGTAGGGGGCGTGTTCATAAACAAAATATGACAGACTGAATAAAATCTGATTAAATAAGATATTTGCCCCCCCTCCTGGTTTGGGCAATAAACATCTTCAACTATCACAACATAATATGGCGTCTCCGCTGGCTGGCATTGAATATAACAGTAACAACTGTTTCATCAGAGCTCATCCAGTGTAGGATAACACTAATGACTGGTCTCTGCTGGGGGGACAGACTAGTTGCTGGACTCCACTGCCATGCTTCTAATACTGAATTACTTCACCTGTATGAAACAGAGGTTTCAGGTATGAA